AGGCTGCCGGACATGTGCTATACCTATATGTTTGTGTGAACAGATGTGGCCAGGCTATATGCATCTTACACAGAGGATCACAACCACGATCTCGTCATTACAGAGCTAGGAGCAATTCAGTTGAGCATCAGTATTTCGAAAAAGCTCACGATCAACTGTCAGTTCAAGGAAGCAAAGTACTTTGCTGATACTCGCCAACCTAGGTCGAATATTGCCACTGGCAATGATACAAGATGAGTACAGTCCTGGCACATCAGCAATGAATGGAAAGTCGTTTCGATATTGAGTTGAAAGACGAAAAGAGCTGTAATGATGCTCGACAAAACAGAATAAAAATATAAAGAAAATTAAATGTTCTCCGTAAGGTATTTTCTTGCACAATCCAAACTCTTAATTACAACTCTATCAACTCCCTACTACAAAGTTACGCCTCCCTTCTCTCCTCTAAAGGCGCGTGTTCTCCTCCCTTATTTCTCCGTCTCGTTCCAGGCCTCTCAATATTCACTTCCTCACAGAGCCTTTGAAAGTCATAAAGCTTCTGGCCTGCTTTCTGCACAAAACATGATCTTCGGGCGAAAACTGAAAGTCACATCATGTCTGCTTGCATAGGAATTGTCTAGTTTCCATACTGCTCGACCTGTGAGAGTAGGGTTAGGGTTAGGGTTGGGGTTAGGGATAAGGTTAGGATTAGGGTTAGGGTAAACTAATTACGTCATCAGGTCGAGCAGTTTGAAAAAAAGACAGCTCCGCTTGCTTAAGATCTTAAAAAGGCGACTGGCATCGTCCATAATTATAAGTTTAACTTCATCATTGCGTTCAAGAACAGCCGATGAGGTGAAAACACATGCAGATATTAACATACATATCATTTTCTGACACATCTTTGATTTTATCAGGACGGGCAAAGTGCTCCGATATCAAAAACAGCACGACAGCATCTCATTTATAAGACAACGCATTCATTTTATGACATCACATAGAATTCTGCGTCGACATCTAAGATTTTCGATAAGCTTTATCATAGAAAATGCCACAGCCAAGTAGAAATCATTGTTGACGATAACGCCATATAACAAAAGGAGCATACGGAAACTGACTTGTGTTCGATTGGATTCATGAAAGTCTGCATATAGTGGTCTTCTTGACGCACATTTAGTGTATTCCTTTACCAGAGGAACTTCTTCATACGCTGTTATGGGATGTGCCATTTTATGGAGTACCTTTTTTCAAGTAGAAAATAAATTTTGGGGTATACATTTTGGTAAAATCAAACAATTGCGGCGCTAGCCACTAGAAATTCGCTTCCGTTGTACTTAGAAGAAGAAGTGTATTTTTCTCCTTTGCCTAAATTTTAATACCAACCAGCAAATCATATTGATGGATTTTTCAAAATTTTTCTGGACTTTCTCAGAACTCAGTTGCTTCTTACATTTTTTCTTCGAATACTGAAGCTTCTCATTTTTTGCTTATTGTCCAGAACTCTTTGCTTATAGCGACTTTCTTTTGAAAAAATGAGTGTATCCTAAAACCTATGAGTATCTGTGAGATGGCCTGCTTGCGGCATTCATTTTTCGGCAGTATAACTGCAAGAGCGACTTGGAATGCTGATGCATAAATTATATTCGACCAGTATAAATACTTAGAGACGGTATTTGGATCAATTAAGAGTGTTAAGTTCTATCTTAGCACGTACATACGACAAAGCTTATAATGTAGCACAAAACAGATGTCATTAATGTTTTGAAAATTTCAAAGCATCGTTTTGAAAATCATTAAAAAATTCCACATTAAATTTTTTGGTTAGATTTCTGTTTCACACCTAAAATCAAGGTTAGTTGTAGGTTTCTACACGTGAAAGCAAATTTGATATCAAGCGTCACTCGATATGACCTTCACCGTAAAGTTCCTTGAGATGTTTTCTAATAACTTACAAAATGAACGTCTTGAGAACTGGAAACAACAAAGCCTGCATAAAGAACAAATTCTGACTATCTTATACACTGTTCCGACTTAGCTGCATAGATAAAAGGAACCAACACACAGCTGAACTTTGATAATGCAATGAGTGAATTTTACTACCATGCCATGGTAACAGCCGTTGTTTGCAACAAAAGAACACGTTAAGAGAACAAGTTGTTGGCAAAGCAGGCAGGCAACTGTTGTTTTCGACATAGAACAACTGACGCAAATTAAAAATGTGCTGATTCGAGCTATGCGGACAAACAATAATGTTTTCCATGGTTATTTTCTTCCTGTACAAAGAAGGCCCATAGAAACTTTCTGATGACAAATTTTTGAAGACTTTTCCTACAGACATGACTTGATTTATTAAATTATATGCGCTAAAATAATGCTTAAAAAATTTGATGGGGCGATAAGTGTTGCCTTATGACGAGATGACGTAAAAAGAAATCAATCAGCTATCTTACAGTCAATAAAAAGGAACAAAGAAAACGTAAAAACATGAATATTTTTTTGTACATTCATATATGAACTTGCCACAGTTGATAAAAACAACTAAAAAATATAGGGCGAAATAGTCCTAAGTTGACGTGATATATGATGTGAACAAGCAATAAATCTACTGATATCAAAATTTTCTTGATTCAATTTTCAAAAACTTCCAGAACAGCGCCTAGATGATGATTTTCAATAGTAGATCATTCTAAATACCGCAATGTGTTATGGAAAGGGGCGACCGAAAAGTGTTCAACAAGCAATAGGGATTATCAACAAAAGCTACAAAGATTTAATGGTTTTATGGTTTGATAATAATAATCGTAATTTACTTGAATAAATGTCAATTTTTCATGATGAAAGTACAGGAAATATTGTTTTTTGGTAAATGATACGGCTTCTGGTTAGACTAGAGTTGGGAGGGTGGGAGGGGGGCGGGCTTTGAGTTTTAACTTGGTCTAACAAGTATAATCTTAAATCAAGTCCGGTATTCGGCGAAAAAAGCGCCACAGTCCAAGAAGAGAAGAAATAAATAAAAACTAAAGGAAATTGAAGGGAAGTTCCCAAAGAAAACCGTATCTTACCGATTAAAAACTTTAATGTATAGGAAGATATGACAAGATTAGTTGGTAAGGTTGTAGAAAGCCCAATTAACATGTAAACAGGAAGCGCTGGAAAATTTCAAGTGAAAGCAACACAAACAGACTTTTTATTATTACGAATCACTTAATGCCTGCTTCCTCAAACTACTAGACGAAATAACTGGGTGCTGATCAAAGGCTGTCCTTCAATCATGGGCGTAACGGAGATGTCTTGGGCCTTTAAGGAAAAATGGGACAGGGCCACTATTTACGGATGCAAGAAGGTTTTATCTAATTGTGCTGAACCTGTCAAACACAATAGCAAGACGTAAAAAAGATGATTTTTCTTATTAACTGAGTTTAGGGGGGTGATTAGTTAAAGAAATAAAAGAACATTAAAGTTTTTGGAAATATGGTTATATCGAGCGAAGTCTTAAAAATGTGGATTTAAAAGTAATTTGGGGACCTTTTTACTCAGGGACCCTTAGTTATCAAAGTAAAATGGCCTAAAGCATACAGAGATTGTGAAATATTAGAACAGTAAGATAAAGAGGACCAAAACAAGCAAGTATCATGGGCCCTGATAGTGAACCCCTGGCCACTTGAGACTATCGGTGGTGAGCCCCTGGCCACTTGAGACTATCGGTAGTGAGCCCCTGGCCACTTTAGACTATCGGTAGTGAGCCCCTTGCCACTTGAGACTATCGGTAGTGAGCCCCTGGCCACTTGTGACTGTCGATAGTGAACCCCTGGCCATTTGTGACTATCGATAATGAACCCCTGGCCACTTTAGACTATCGGTAGTGAGCCCCTGGCCACTTGTGACTGTCGATAGTGAGCCCCTGGCCACTTGTGACTGTCGATAGTGAACCCCTGGCCATTTGAGACTATCAATAATGAATCCCTGGCCACTTTAGACTATCGGTAGTGAGCCCACGGCCATTTGTGACTATCGATAGTGAACCCCTGGCCACTTTAGACTATCGGTAGTGAGCCCCTGGCCACTTGAGACTATCGGTAGTGAGCCCCTGGCCACTTGTGACTGTCGATAGTGAACCCCTGGCCATTTGAGACTATCAATAATGAATCCCTGGCCACTTTAGACTATTGGTAGTGAGCCCATGGCCACTTGAGACTATCGATAGTGAACCCCTGGCCACTTTGGACTATTGATAGTGAGCCCCTGGCCACTTTAGACTATCGGTAGTGAGCCCACGGCCACTTGAGACTATCGATAGTGAACCCCTGGTGACTTGTAACTATCGATAGTTGGCCTACTTGAAACGTACTATGGCTTTCAAATTTTCATTTGAGACGAATTCTGGTACCAATGAAAATGATTGAATTTCTATACACTTGTGACTTGCAAAGGTTCTTTACCACTGTCTTTGTGCTTGAAAATATCAGTTTCCCTACAGGACGTCAATTACATATCTAACTGTTCTCTTGATTCTTATCTGCGTGAGAGTTTTTGTATTTCTTTTAAAAACAGAAAAAATGGAAACAAAATGTTATAAATCTTTAGAGTACAAGTTACAACCAACTTTCCTTCCAACATTTAACTGCCACTCTGTTTATTCAAATTCCTTACTGAACATTACCATCATACTATTATTCTACTTATCAAAAGATGACGTGAGCTTTTCCCGCCAAAAACAGCATTTTTGGTCTTCTAAAGTCATAATCGAATTTTTAGTTTGACATAACCATAATAACGAATTGATAAAATGACGTTTCGAGCAAAGCCCGTTCATTTGATAATGCTCGGGAAGGTCGTTAAATAATTCGCTATTTTTTCCAAGTACAATTTAACTGAAATTCCTGGTTATATCAAATAGAAGTAGAACGATGATGGTTGAAACTAGACCGCCATTCTGTCAAAGTGGTGCAATGCCTTTTTAAATACTAAATTTTTCAATTTTAATCGAGTTTGTCGGTGATAGTGATAGAAATTTGACTTACCAGGCTTCAACAATTACTCCAACGCCAGTGGGACTAACGGCTTCTAAAACTGCCTTCGCGATATCCTTAGTTAGTCTTTCTTGAACTATAACGAAAAGGATATGAAATTCAATTCAATCTACACTAGATATAGGCTACAAACAATATATAGCTATATGTAAGCCGGCATTCACGGCAAAGCATCTGCAGTCGAATGAAATTTAGCCGTTTCTCGCTGCTTTTGTGGGAGTCAAGCTGTGGAGATCTGATACAAAACTCTGCAATAACATTACAAGCATCTAAGAATTTTAATGTGGTAGCTATGATGAAAAATAAGTATTTATCTAAAATAGTTTCAAAATATGCTAATAGATTACTTTAATCTTGCAACGATAAATAATCAGGCGAGATACAAATCCGAATCGAATATAACTTCGCAAAAAATTTAGAGCGACTCAAGGAAAATTTTGCAAACTGCGACCGCGATTTAACTTACATGTTATGCTTCGTTTGAGTTTAATGGGAACACAAATGCGAGCGTCTTTTTAAAAAAAATGCATTTTATTCAAATTTAAGAAGAAAACATGTTCCAAAGTATTGTCGTTGTTTCGAAAGTCTCACTGCAGTTTATTGGTAAATTACCTGTAGAAAAACAAACTGGCGTAGCCTAAATCGAAGAGAAATAACATAAAAAGTCGACATATCCTGAGAAGTCACAAAGTTCATTGGAAAAAGCAATCTAGTTCAGAAATTTAGAATGCGTTAAGCGAAAAACAATGCATTTGCCACGCATTACTCAACATACACAAAATCAACAATCGGCGAAATCTGATAAGGAGAAAATATTGTTATGCAGTAATGTCAAAGTTAAAATAAATGTATGAGATAATGCAAAAACCTCCATGTATAACTTAGATAGATTTTATTTAAAGTGGTAACAAATGAATTATAGTAAATTTGCGCTATGTCAAAAAAACAAATGGAATGCTGTTCTAATTTCTAAAGTGTTGTTTAAAGGCAGTCGGTGGCCTCCTTGATTGGCTAATTCTAACTTGAAAGCCTTGCTTTAAAAGAGGGTCTTCCTTTGCATTTTTAGTGTCCGACCTTAGTTGTTGTGGGGGAACACGACAAAAGATAGCCTAAGCTATATATCATCGAAGTTGACTCAGATGTTTGACACCAAAACAAACTTAACAGCAGCTCGCTCGGGGAAAGACGCTATTGTAGTTCTTTATTCTGATTGGTTATTTGTGCATTAAACCAACGATGCATGAATATCGTGGCCATGAAAAGAGATTCTGAGAACAATGGGGGACATACTGCCTTAACTGGCAAGGAATACAATCAGTTTCCATGAATCTACTTACTAACAAGAAAGGGAGGCTGGATCGCCAGGTGGAAGAGAGGCTGGATGAGACCACCCGCCGGACCCTAGGAGTCTTGGGATGCAAAATTTGATAAAAATCAATGGGAAGGAACAACGCCCAATGACGAGGATCATTCCATACAAATACATCTAATTTGTAAAATAAAAAGATTATGATTTTTCACCTCAGCATACGGGGCTCCGTCACAGTAAATACTGCAAGATATAAATTAACTTTACTTCAAGTCTAAATTTTGGCTTTTCGAATTATGTAATTACTGGATTGCACCTATTCGTTTTGAGAAATTCCTGTCTATTGCTTATTATAATATATCATAATATCCAAAAAACATAAAATCATATACAAACCTTGTAATCGTCGACTGTACATTTCAACTATCCTGCAGAAAAATCAACCCCTTTTCAAACTTCAATCTCCAAGATACACAAAAAGACCTCTTTGAATTTTCGTGAAGAAATGGAAAGCTGAAGTATGTTTGGAAATCAAACTGTGACTACTAAGTTTAGGGATTCTCCAGCATTATAGTACAAGGCACATTCAGCACAAAATAGTTCCCTTTGATGTTAACGACCTATTGGCTCTGTGACGTTGGGATTAATTAACCCAGGCCCGGGATCAAGAGCAACTCATAGAACAAAATAAAATAGCTTGTAATCAACAGGGCTAAAAAATTACTTTATAACAATAATATGAATATATGGATTTACTGTGATTTATAGGACAGGGGTTAGTGATTGTTCTCCATACCTTGCAATCTTGCTAAGGCCGATGACTTTTCTATTTGGTAGATAGCAAACGTGAGCCTGGAAAGAAAGCATATTCTCAGTATAGATATCTATATTACGTACTGGTATTACGTAAGGTCCGATTACAAGGTTCGGACAATTTGTGAAACATTGACTGCATGTAAGAAGGTACAAGACGATTCAAGGCATTTTATACTTTGCACGCTGTATCGAAGTCAATCATTACTTTGACAGTTTACCACCCTAGTTGTGATACTAATGACAACATTTTTTTTATCAAAGGGACTGTTTGTGACGATACGAGCTGTCCGATTCTGTAGTTTTTGCAATTTTCTTAGAGTTGTGTCATCAGCACATCCACAAAAAAGCAACGATATCTAAAATGCAGATCGATCATACTGAAGTACATTCTTTGGATGGTTTAAAATGAAAGATATATCTCAGAATATTTGAGCATTCCCATTTCAAGTGAAACCTTCCCAATTGCAACATAGGTTTGCTCTGCCCAATTTAGTGCTGAATCAAGATATTTTAAATGACCCGTGGATTCAATCTCTTCGCTATTTCTTTAAAAGATGGGGAAATTTGTTGAATCATTGCAACCTAGTCTTCTGAGTTTAGGCACAGTTCCAAGAATCATACCTTGTGTTTTTTCCGACATTAAGAGACAATTTATTACCTGTAGCTACGAACTTAGATTCCGAAGATCTAAGTACATAGTATTGCAAAGGTCAGTGATTGATTTCGAGAAATAGGAGATGCTTATGTCATCTGCATACATTGTGATTTTGGTACTTTGCAAAGCAAACGGCAAGTCATTGATATAGATCACAGGCAGGAGCAGGAGTGGACCAAGGCAGGAGCCCTGGGGAACTCCACATTTAATGTCTTGCATTTCTGATATGCTGCCATTTACCTTATTTGGGTGTGACATGTATCAGTCAAGTTCAACGCTTTCCACTTCATAGAAACGCAGCTTAGCTATGAGAATATCGAGGACGACAGTGTCAAAGGATTTCTTTAAGCATCAGGCCCGTAGACACTGGCAGGGTGGGGGGGCAGGGGGGCAATGCCCCCCAATAATTTGAGAATATTTTGTTTGAGGAACTTATAACCGCAGCTTGATCTGACAGTATTTATTTACGCAGCTCCATGCCCCCCAATCTAGTTTAGATGTCTAGGGGCCTGAGTCGATAAAGGTGACTCCAGAAAAGAGCCCCTTTGTCGATGTATAGATGCCAGTCATTGGTAAACTATAGTAAGCATGTCAATACGGGGTGAAATATCCCAAAACCCGACTGGTCTGCGTAGAGAAATTCATTTACAGTAAACTAGTTATATTATTGATATAAAACTTCTCTTTTAAAATTATTTTAAAACTACATGAAGCACAGAAATGGGTTTAAAGATTGAGAATCACGGAGCAATGAAGTATAGATATAACTGAAAGAAACAGCTGATTGACTGAAGGAAGAGGTTGTTTTCAGTAGTGCTGTTATCTCTTCAATTAAAACTGCAGGAAATGGAAACCGCCGACTCATTGGGACAGGAAAGCTTCGGCCAATGATCCCTCTGACTGAGGCATGTCAACATGAAAAAACAATATTATTTCAAAATCCAAACAGAAATCACATTTAGCTGTGATAAAATCGTGCTCAACATAGAATGAAAGACCACATGTGTATAATGGGAAAGCACACCAGACTGTGTAAAGTTACGTAACCTTCTTCGACAAAACATCTTCTAAATACTGTTAGAATTGCTTTTAATAAAAAACACATTTTAAGGAACAGGGTTAAAGTGCAAAAGGTTTTCCGCACACCCGCTTCCCTTTCCTAGTCAAGTTCACCACCGCCCCCCCCCCTCTCAGGGATATGGAGCTCCATACTATTCAACCATAAAAATAGCCATAAAATAGAGGACTTCTGTCAAGTTAGGGGTGCAGAGCAGAAGCAACCATAATAACTGCTTCTCTCCCCATTGAAACAGGATACTGAAACAGTGCATTGCCGACAGATCTTTTCACAGCACAATTTTTTCAAAAATACCTTACTTTTGACGAGCCTCGGTATTCTTAAAAATTTCATATTCTGACCCTTCAATAACTTCAAAATAGTTCTATATCATTGCACGTTGTACGCTAACACATGCTTCACGGGTGTACCTCAATTTTTGCCAAAACCACGCTTTTCTTGTTCGCTAAACAAACTTAGACAGATAAGAAATTTAATGTTCGATTAAATGTAATCCTTGCTATCACTTTTAATGGATGCATGAATTTCACCATATTCGTGCCTCCTAAAAAAATGTTATTGAATTTATTCTTATAAAAAGAATGTGTAGTTGTATGAGAATACACAACATTTCCAACACAATGTCTTACAAAGTATGTCCTCGTTGCATCCCTTCCATTGCCCCACCTTGGTCAATCACAATTAAATTGTTTATTGAGTACCTTTCAATATTTGAGAAACTTTTACAACGTGAAAAGTAAAAAAAATGATTGGTCCTCGGGTAGTTCAACTATGAGCGGACGTTGGTCTGTTAAAAGTGCGACAAGCCGTTTAGGGGGGAGGGGTAGGCAGGACGGATAGTTCAGTAACGAAGGGCATTGCAGGCACCAAGTTCACGCGCGATGGACTGTTCAGGCATAAAGGAAAGACACGGAGGGAGGGCACGAATGGAGCGCGAGGAATGGAGCACCCGAAGGGAGGTCACGAAGAGCAGGTATGAAGGCACGACGGGCAATTAAGGCACGGCGAGCAGTAAAGGCGCGACAGACTTTAGCAGGCCTCTTGCGCGGGCTGTTCGTTTCATTCTGATATAAAATTTTCGAAGAGGACCCAGGAAATATGGCTCGCAAACGGTACCAGAAATCTGAACTTCCTTAATAAACAGGCCTATTGGGCTCAGATTAATTGTCCATGTGCTACCATTCAGAAAGCTAAGTTGCTAAACTTAAAAACTTTCTTTTCTAGCGCTCATCCATATATGAAATGGCAGATTAATGGTTGACATTTAAAAATAATTAAGGTTTAGTCGTGAAACATAGGTGGCTATTGTGTGATAATGTCTGACAATTGTTGGTAATGTAGGTGCAAAACACCTGGCTTTTGGGGTACACGGTAAAGCTGAACAGGTACTTGAGCATAAAAAGCCATACAAGTAATGAATATGAATGATTAACATTACGTAAAATGGATTGAATAAGCTGCTATGCTTTTCGCAGAACTCACAGCAATGGGCGTGACAGAGGGCAGACATTGGGTCTTGAAAAGCAGGTGGTAGCTTCTCAAACACAACCAAGTTAAATAATAATGTTGAATGCCCCTTTCAAAGAGCGATTAGCACAGGCAAAATAATGGCTAAACATTTATGGAAATATCCATTAAGCAAAAATCTGTAAACAAGCATGTGATAAATAGTAGCGTCCGATCCTGTATAATTCGATGATCTTTTTTGTGTGTTTGCCTGATAATTAAAATGCTTTTATATCAATCATCAGGGACGCCGGCCGGAGAAGGGGGGCGCGAGGGGTGATCCACTCCTGTTGCCTTTTGATAGGAGGGGCAAGAGGGGCCAGTGTGCCCTTTTGATTTATGTACCCCTGATACCGCCCAATTGTAACAATTCGCATGAAATTTTGATTGCAGTTATAATTCATTAGGACATTTCTCAAAATTCGTAAAATAAATCCTAATGCCAAAAGTTAGCCAATTTTCAAGATACCTACAGAAGATCGAAATAAAATGGCAGTCAGTAGAAGGAATTATTAGAAGCTGGGAGTTATCTTTCAAAGGCTTTTTTACTCAAGCCTGCCCCCCCCTTGCTCTTTGGTCATTCCGGCGCCCTTTCACTCATATTTGACTTTTCGTTTGATAAAATGTTGTGTTTTATGTAGGAGATAACATGTTAGCAGATAGTATCTTGGTGAAGAAGGAAAAAGTTAACAGAACGAACCATGGAATTTGGTATATCGCTTTTTAGCACGGAAAACGTAAAAAACGGGTTGTTCTCAAAAGCAAATCTTACCTTTCCAACAAATGGAACAAGATGGTGCTCACACATCGAGAATAGATCAATATCTTTCACTAAAACAAGCTCATCATGTTGTTCATCAAAGATGGCGTCATTAATGATATCTGTAAATTGGAAATACAGCGAAAAGTAAGAGTAAAGAACATGGAGCTTGTCTCTACGTCATATTAAGCGTGATAAATTTTTAGTATCCCGTTAATGACGTACCGGAGAAAATGAGGAAATAATACAGATCTGACAGGCAGGGCCGCCGAGAGGTTTTTCGGAGGCCGCACCACCACCCCAACTAGCGACGGCCCTGTACGAGCCCCGTCACATATCTCTCAATTTTCAAACAGGACACAACTTCGAAAAGATTATCAAATAATTTAATCTGGTGCATTTCAGGCATGGGATTACAAAACCACACTGCATTGTTTACCGTAAATGCAGAGGAATGCAGGCGTATGAGTGAGCGGAGCGTCGTAGTGTAACTGCTACCCCAAATATCACTGCGGATTAACTGTTACTCCGCTACGCGCTGCAAAACCTGTTGTTTACTCTGAACGGTTGACTGACGGGAACCGGCCTAATATCGTACTTTGTACTCTGGTATATCGCTTTTTTTGCATGCAGAAGTTAAAAAGGGTTTTTATGAAAAACACATCTTACCCTTCCAACAAATAGACGAGATGGTTTGAGAATACAGAACACATTAAAGTAATTAAGAAAACTGCCGCTAAGCATAAAGGTTGCGCAAGGGTCTTTAAAGACTTTTTCAATCAAAATAACAAAGTTTTCGTTATAATCAGACCAGTGTTTACCAGACTGTACAGTATTTTTTCTGCGCGGGGAAGGCAGAACAATAATTCTGAAATTTGAGGATAACGAACGTTCCCCCCGAAATCGTGCGCGGAAGTTGAAGCAAAGGCTTTCGAAGAAACCTTGTATTTTTTCTTTTTTCTTGTTATCAGAAGTCAGAAGTTTGAATGGTGGAATATTCGCAGGGAACATGACCAGATAAACAAATATTGTGCGCGAGATCTACGGCAGAATCTTAATAATGCGCGGGCGGAATGAAGGATGAAAATTATTGCGCAGGAATGCATTCCCCGCGCAGATCAAACTTTTCTGTCTGGCGTGTTTATAATATGAAAAGACTAATACAATATAGTCTAAAGAACATCGCAATAATTTCGATATCATCGGTTATCGATGACATTAACAGTGGCGTTGTGACGTAATTAGCCTCGTATTTATGTTATGTTGGGCATGCGCCCGGTTTGTTATGTTATGCGTGAGAATACGAAATGAAGTATTGAAGTTCGAGTTCGGGTGTTCTTTCGTTGTTATATACCGGATAATCATACAGGCGTAGTGTCTATGCATGCTACGCTTGCGGCGCAAGCGAAAAAATTCGTAGACGAATTCTAAAATTCTTGCAACACTTCTATCGGTAATAAATACGTTGTAGTGTAAAAGTCAATGCATAGCATTTTCCGCAATAAACGGCTTCTCTTTTTGGTCATGAGCAGCATGCAGTGAACTCCAGCGCAAACATTTCCTATTTTCCAAGTGAACAGATCGCTAAAAATTCCGAGATTGGGAAAATCTGAAAAACTGAGGCCCCTTCACATCACTCTTTTTGCCTGTCTAAAATAAGAGAAACATGCGATGCTCCATTGCAGCTTCCGTGCAGCTCGAGAGAAGCTTCTAAGAGAAGTTAGAATTTTCCGGACTGGAGCTTGCGGTCGGCCTGAGCGCAAGCATTTCCATATGTTTGATAATCTACAACATTTTTCTGCTTATAAGCTGCTTTTTGCGAATATTCTTTGCGTGATACCTCATTCAAAATCTAATTATTTTCCTTTCTTTACTTTTGTGACTGTTGAAAAGAGAAAAATAGTCTAGTCTTTCCGTCATAGTCTATTTGTCATGATCTGCATTCCGTAATTCAAGTCAAAAGGCTTGCCAGTATAGTCGGAATTCACCGACCAGGGCATGCGGTAGACCTGAGCGCAAGCCTTGCCAAATAGTTGATGATTTGCAGGGAATAACTTTCTGAAACCATTACACATGAAAGCATCTTCAATTCTAACAACTCTCGCAGCCCATTATTGTCATCTTTGTTGACTGTCATCTTCTGTGTAGCAAATGAACAGAAACTTTTGCAGTGTGTTAACAATTTCGCAATGTGGAGAGCTCCACCTGCGGGAATCCCCACATGCATCATAGCATCAACAATTCTTGCATTAGGTGGGCATTAGGTGATAACATTTTGCAAAACAATTGAGCATTTTTCAAAAACTTCCCATGGGCAATGATTTTTCCTTTGCCCCCCCCCCCCCCCCCCTCTCCACTTTCCAATCTGTGTCGAAGTGTCTGTTGTAGAGAATAGACACCTAGATTGATTAGAATTAGAGTGCAAATAATTTTTTATTTTCAAAATCATATTATCAAGATTATTATTAATTGCCGCTTTTATTAATAAGAAGCTGAAATCACGATTTCATTCTTCAACATAACCGTATATTATATGTTACCGCATGCCTAAGTTCTGCGCTCACGCTAAACCACTGGACATTAAAGATAAAACTATATCAATTTTACCTGAAAGTGTTTGGGTATAGCCATTGGTGAAGAACATCATGGCCTTGGCAAATCTCTCTGGAGTTTTTGCAAGCCCTTCTCTTTCTGGATTTTCACCAACACACTCTAATATACTTTTAACAGCAGATGACATTTTCTCGACTTTTGCTTCCATTTCATCCTCTGTATCTTTCCGCGGTGAGTCTAAAGATTCTGATGGGCTCCATCCCCGACAACCTGCGCATTTAGAATTAATCATACTGAAATTATTGTCCAGCAGAGGTTTATGTTGGTAAATTCTACAAAATGAGAGGTCTTCCTTGTTATTCATAACCCTTTTGTCATGTAGTGGTTTGTAAAACAATGAAAAATTTGATGCGCAATCTGGGGTCCTTTGTATCTGAGGACTTACGGGAAATGCTTTGACCAATGAATTCCCCAATATCATTATATTTACCTACATCATTGAAAAAGATACACTCTAAAACCACTACAAAGAATGTCACATTTCATCAGCATTGGCAAATTAGTACCAATTACGCATTATTTTAAACAATTCTTCAAGTCAATCTGGCCGTTCTTAATTAGTTTTTTGAAAGCTCGAATACCTTTTTATGGTCTTGTTAACTGAATAGTAAAATTCTTCCATAAGCTTTAATGTCTGTAAGATGCTCTCCTGATGGATGTCCTACTTTGTCCTTGTTCAGTCTTTCACTGACACACAGAATTAATTCAGGTATGAAAAACGTCTTCCATGCAAGTACTTTTCCATACCAAGTTTTAGAAAATGTGTTCTGAGTTTTTCAGTAATTGGATTCTCAGATCCAAGATATCCTCCCTTATCTTCTTTACTTCATAATCTTTAGCTAAAGCGAAATTATGTAGAAATGGGCAACATTGACATACAGGCTAACTATATCAGGAGTTCTGACAGATCCTGTTGTTGAATCATCCCCTATTATACAACCTTTTTATTACCTATTTCAGGTTTAAATAATCCCTTCCTGGTTCAAACCAAACACCTAGTGGAGAATTGGAGCCAAATTGGGTCTGATGCAGCACACAACAGGGCTTATTATTGGGCCTATTCATCTTCTTGTTTGTTTTTATCTGGGCCTATTTCAGATAGTGCTCTTTTGGCGATTCTCTGTTTCTCATATTCTCAAAACTTTTTGTGGGGACATGGCCTCCCAGGACCCCTCTCGTTTCATTGGCCGTGAACAATAAATCATACTCAAAGTTTCAAACTCCCATCATATTAATAAATCGATTTATCAAAGGCTTAATTAATCATTATATACCTTTCTTGTCATGAAATTAGCAAATATGATTGATTATAAAAGGTTTCCGCGTATTCCGCGTTTTCGATATTCACCCTCGTACAAAATTGAAAACGCGGAAAACGCGGAAAACGCGGAAAAAGCGGAAAACGCGGAAATCGGTCCCTGCCGATTTCACAAGGAGTTTTCCTACAAAATCTTGTCTGTGCTTGATAAGAAAGCAAATCGGAGACATTTCATCATTACCTTCCCAGTCTAACTGGTGAAAATATTGGAAGATTTGTGCCAACGTAAGAGACAAACTGCGTTGTATTCATAAAACAGCTTTGAATGGTGTTAGTTGCTCTTGCAGCCACATAATCCGTGATAAACTTTATTAAAGGCTTACTTTATCATTATATACCTTTCTTGTCATTAAAATTAGCAAATATGACTGATTATAAAGGTTTCCGAGTTTTCCGCGTTTTCGATTTTCACTCTCGTTCAAAATCTCATTCCTTTAAAAAGAAGTTTTTATATTTCAATTCTTGAAAGAGCTCTGTTGCTCTGTTTATGTATTGGTATTCTAGAGGTTTAAAGCAAATTTCACTTTTCCGCGTGTTCCGCGTGTTTCGCGTGTTCGGCCTAAATTTGGCGTCTTCAACAAGAAAAGTACAGGGGTCCCGAAGGAGCTCGCCATATTCCTGAAATAGGGCAACGATGACATTTTAGGCTATACTATTTAAGCCCACGACAATAAGCAATATGTAACAAAGATTTGGAGCTAGTTGTAGGCGAAATACCATATTGTCAGGCATTCATCATTATAAGGAGCTGCAGTTTTTATATGAAAGCCTTTGCGGAAGGCCTATGCTGGAAAGCTTCAAACTTAGAAAAGATCCCTGGCAATATTCATAAGTTTTCGTTTATCGCAATGCCATGAGATATATATATTGTTAAAGTTGTGTGAAAAGTGAAGAAATGACTTAAGAATGGGGTTTTTTGAAGGTTCCATATACTATGCAATTAAACCTTCGTAGAAATAAGACAAAACACCAATAGCACTCCATCACACGCCTAAAACAGTCTAGGGGTGCAAATTCTACACTTGTGCTAATTTATTCCCGAAATGCTTGTATTTAGCTTTTTACAAAGAGAAAGATTTGAGTTGAAAGCACAAGGCTACGAAGTTGATCTTAGGCAATATTTTCAATCCAAATGGCCTACACGATGCATTTACTAGTCATTTGCTGTTACTGAAATGCATGATTAATAGTTTGTGAATAGCATGAGCCCCTTATTTATTCTGAATCTGAAATATGTCTTAAAATCATGCATAAGCAATACAACAATTAAAGTTCCCACTTTTTCATAAAACCAACTTCCTGAGCATCAGGTTGGGAGTGAAAACTTTCCTTCACTAGGTAACTGCTAGACAATCAAATTCTTACTGGAATTGTTCACCACTGTGACCAGGGTTCTGTTTTGGGAGACTTAGTTCCATATGTGGGAGACCAATGAAAAAGCTCCTGGTCTCTTACTGGGGGCTACCTTTCCACGGGGAATTGTCCATTGATCACTTGATAAAAACATTTGCTTTTCTCTGAAAGCGGGTAAAATAAGATGGTCAATCTACTGGTGTGTAGGAGCTTTGAGAAAGGGTAGAGAAAATGTAACTGACTCATAATTTCCTTCAAAATACTTACAATATTCATTCATCATTGATGCAATGAAAATGTCATCCACAGGTCTATTTTGACAGTGACCCTATCAGTGATGGTATATTCCTAGAATCAAGAGAGTGATAACTGCTGTAAAGAATGATAACTTCTGTTTGATAAAAACTGTGGACCCTTTTGGTTAATAAAAGGGCTTTCACAACAATAAAACGTTTTAGCTATGTTAAACATCTAATACCAGCTGTTTTAAAAAAGAGTGAAACCTAGTCCAAATACTTCCACTACTTCTTCTCCTAATATATTGGATAAACCTAAATCATAGCAAAATTTATAATACTCAGAAATATTTGCTATAGTATGGAACCATTTATACCCAAAATGATTCTAAATATATTTATATCATATTTACAATCAAATCTTTAAAAAATCATAAATTCTAGTAATTTGATTCTCTAAAAATTAATGTCTGGCTATAGCTTCATTTTGGTTGCTATCAACATTGGTGCAGGCATACTGTTTCAAAATTGCTGTCCTATATCATATAAACAATTACCATTTGACACATCTATCACCAGGGGCACCTTAGAGCAATATTAGATTGGTATTCAAGGTACTAACAATCTACCCGATAAAATGCCACACCCAAAAAAATAAAATCCCCCAAATGCCATACCCCTTTATAAAGCCCTGCAAAGAGGATTTTCAAAATTGGCTCTCAAAATGATGTCTAAGTAGTTTTGATAAATTACTTCCACCTTGTCCACATTCCAATAAAAAATAGCAAGAAACCCAAAACGTCTGTGGTATGCTTTAGATCATATTTAAAATGTTTTACTTTATTTGTTTATTTGCTGAATATCTCAGTTGTCCAGGATCAACTTGCAAGAAAAATAGATCTCGTTTGTTTTATGTACCTTCCGCTTGAAAACAAATGCTTCGTTGCACTCTTGATATACACGTATGGAAGGTTATCGGCCAGTAAAAACTGAGGCCTGCATCCAAGACCAAAGCACGGTCAAAAGCCTTTCTACGAAGCCGCACCATATTCGAAGGTATTCAGTTTGGATTCTGAATAGTGTGGCCACAAAGCTGTGACATTTAAAATGAGGCATTTAAAAATGAAAAAAATAACCAGATAAGGCTAGCATTTTATTCTGATTATCTGTGTTGAACACACATTGAAACTTGCAAATTTCTAAGCAGTATTTGATTCCGAAAACACAAGCTAGAAGGGGACATGTACGCTCAAGGTATTCGGACAAGTTCTGAATACCTTCACTTTCAAAATTCTTTGTTTAGCCTCACAGTTATCTCCTGTGACTGACGTCAGGGTCAGTCAAAAACAATGCAAAATCTCATCGGAAAACAAAAGGGATTAAGAAGTCTCTATACCCACCGCCAAAACAATATCAAGGGTCATTGATTTTTTTAAAGAAACTTCACCTACTTTGTAATGGCATTATATGGGAAAAAAGAAAATTTTATTTGGATTTTGATTTTGGAACATATTAAAAGCATTAAAAGTTGTTTGGAAAAAAGTTGGTATTCATGAATACCTTGAATACCCCAGCTTGCTGCCCCTGTCTATCACTAAAAAAATCAGTCTAGAAATGGTATGCTAGGAAAGAAATAAAAGGCAGACAAAGTGCTTGTTTATGCTCAAGAAGGCTACTGTCTTTTTACAGCAAATGTGTTAAACATCTGCACAGTAACCTTGCCTCAAGACTGAAGCTGAATATCAAATAGCGATAAAGAACCCGTTCGAAAAAGGGAAGAATCCTGACAATAATAAATTACGATCGTGGTGATAGAGTAATGTTTAACCTAAAAAGCTCTCAATTACAATCTGCCACAAAGATAGAATTACTGACTCTTCACATTATGAGTCTAGTCAATTTCAGCTTTCAAAGTTTAAAGGATAAGCTTCAGGTTCAAGTTTTTTGCCTTTTTCTTGCTTGGCTTGTCTTGAGTTTCACAAGAGCTTGTCCTACAAAAACATATCTAAATATAACATTCATTTTTCATCCCTATATTGAGTTATTGTAAATTTAATTCCCACTTTGCTGGAAATTACCCTGGGCAATTCAAAAAATTTCCGGTATGTGATTATAGGTCACTGCAGGTTGGGTTGCAAAATTTTGCAGTTTTGCAACCCAACAGGCATCTCATTCTGCAGACCTGTACTGTGGAGTATGGCAGTTTTAAACGAGATCTCTCGTGTAAGATCAAAATTTCAAGTATGCAAGTGTGCACTTTGGTTTAGTGTGCACTTTGGTTTAGTGTGCACTTTGGTTTAGTGTGCACTTTGGTTTAGTGTGCACTTTGGTTTAGTGTGCACTTTGGTTTAGTGTGCACTTTGGTTTAGTGTGCACTTTGGTTTAGTGTGCACTTTGGTTTAGTGTGCACTTTGGTTTAGTGTGCACTTTGGTTTAGTGTGCACTTTTCCATTTTTTCACAAATTGTAAATGTTTGATAGTTATTTTGTTATCATACAAACTATCCGTTTCGGGTTGATGTTCCGTTCCGGGTTGATGTCATTGATTTTGTATCTTGCTATCTATGGATATTTCTCAGAAATGGACTTCAGATTTGAAATCTTCAACTTTAAATTAGTTCATGCTTGTAAAGTAAGTTTAAAAAATAATGTTGTTACTTTTTCGCAATTACTTTAAAATGTATAGAAAAAGCTAAATCTTGAAAATGGGTTAATTCGCTGTCTGATGGCCCAACGACTTGAAATTTTCAGCACAGGCTAATTTCAACAGGAAGATTCTAATTCTATGATCCATTTTTGGCAAATTTGAAGATAAAAAAATTGCCTGGAACAGAGAATGCCAGATTTCCTTCACTTGCCCTAAACATTAAGACATACCCATACCACGCCCAGATATCAAAATTCCACACCATTTACCAAGTGTGCTGGAATATTTTAGAATAATATCTCGCATGTTGCACTTGCCAAACGCTGCAGTCTGGCTGCCGACTCTCACCACAGCTTGCACCTCCTTCCCCTAGAAACAATCCGTAGTTGGACTAAAAGTATCGTCACCATCGTCCATGGAGTACTTGATCAATAATCTACTTATGCAACTGAAAGCAGTACTATCTGATACTGATAAGACAGAGAGCATCGCATCATCATTCGAAGATTGCCAGTTGGCATTATTGAAAAATGAAAAAGTACTTGGTAAGACAAACCATGACATTGAACTTTAGAGGTCAAAACGTAATAATGTATAACATGAAACAGGATTTATCGATAAATTGAAGAGTTTTACCTGATTCTACGTTACAAGATCCTAATACCCTTGAATGCAACGAGATACTCTTGTTGTTGTTGTTGCCACCTGTTAATCTTCCGTTGTCACGCAAAGAAATTTTGCACGTAGACACGTAGAGAAAAAGATTAGATTTCACCGCAATTTCACACCAAGATGCCCGGGTCCATTGTGAACAGGCACGTTCATTCCGGGGGAAGCGGGACTGTTACATTCCCATCCAGGGGTGGCGCTAGAAACACGGGACAGATTTAGCGGGGAGGGGGGTGTAGGGGGTGCGACACCCCCCAATAGTTCTGTGTCATTCGGTAAATTTTGTTTCGTTCGATAAAAATCATTTGTTGGTAGTCAGTAGTAATAAATTAAAGCAAAGATTTTGCTTTTTTCAATTTTTATTTTTTTATCAGTGGCGTAGCGGGGGGATATTCTCAAATCTCAAGGGCATCGTCGCAAAAATGTTTGCTCGCTTCGCTCGCAGGAGAGCCTCAGTATTCAGTAATTTTCCTTCGTTTTGGGGTTTGTATTGAAAAGTCTCTCACGTTCTTGAGACATTCCTCATAAAATAGAAACTAAAATTCTAAAGCAGTCCAATCCTTAAAAAACTGGATTCTGAAATGCTTGTCGTGGCTTTAGCTCCAAGGAAAACGCACTTGGTTTAAAACTTTTGAATACTGTTAAATTTTTTAGATTTTTGATAACAACTTTAGAACTTTTGATTGCAACTTTGGAAAATCACGTTTACACGTAGAGATTCCTCGCCTTACACAATTCAGGATATAAACGTTAGTGGAATTGTGAAGGAAATAAACAGTTGTAGACTATGGTCAGCCACCTATGACCATAGGCGTACGGGGTGAGTTCAGGTAAGGGGGCTGAAACTTTTTTGCCCGAAAAATAATAACGCCCAAAATTTTACGGAGTATACTTAAACACATGTGAGCTTCTAATATTAATCAAGAAATGATTAGAATGCAACGGCATTAAAATAATGTTAGCTCTAATTAGCATTTTTAAAACTTCACACATTTTCATTAAAAAAGCGAATCTCTTCCACGACAGCGACCAAATATTTCGATTGTTTTATCGACATCTTTTTGTGAACATGATTTGCTTCATTTTCAACAATTCACAAACATTTTTGCTTACTTGCCTATTCTTGTGAGTATTGAACAGTTTGTGTTCTATTTCTAGGTAGTCAGAAACACAGAATCCATTTGGTACACAGTGGTTGAATTCACTGCATTAGTTTGATAACCAAAGGCCCCGACCAAAAGAGGCCCGAGGTGCGAGGTACGTCCATATCTTTAAAGCTTTGCTCCAGTTCAAATAACTTTTGAAAACTTGGAAAGTTATTCAACTGAAACTTTAAAACTCAGTTCCCCCTAGCTAACCAAAAAATGATTCTCATTTTTATCCTTTTCCATTGTGTTTGACATGCTCCACACCATTGAATGTGATCTTGCTGCATTCCGCAAATAGAAGTCCCGTTGCAGCTTTTGGCTTAGGGCCTCTGTTATGCCAAAGTGATAGTCATTATCACTAAATCGCGCATATATTTTTTCCAAAACTTTATCCATTACGTGTAGAATCAACTGAACAGAGCTTTGCTTTCTAGATGGGTTTTGGGGCCTTTATCCTTGCAAAGAAAATAAGTGTCTTCTCCACTGCCTTCACTGCACTGCCTTCACTGCACTGCCTTCACTGCACTGCCTTCACTGCACTGCCTTCACTGCACTGCCTTCACTGCACTGCCTTCACTGCACTGCCTTCATTGACTCACACTGACAAGCCCAGTGCGTTGCGCTTTGTCCCTATTACCTCTATGACAGTTCATATTCAACTTTTCTCTTGAAATTTCATGCTTTTTGGCCTTGGCCTCAATGAAATTATAGATACCTTGGAATTACACCAAGTCCATATCTCATTGACTCACTTTCTGCAAGATTCAACTTACGTCCAAGGCAGTGGACATAGATGCTCAGCAGAGAACAGTCCTCCATTCGCTTTAACAAGCCCTTGGCTTTGCCGCTAATTTTAGACTATCGATGCATTTGCCAACAGGTTTCTACATACGCTTTTAGGCCCAATTTGTACAACTGCTGAAGACTGAGTTTTGTAAAATTTAGCAAAAAACTTCCTTTGGGACACCATTCAGTGCAAAACTGACACAAACTGATTTTATTCGTGCTGACGAACGTCGGATGTTTCATAAACTATGAGAGCATAGTAGCCGCTTTCGTTTACTTCTTCAACAATCTTTTCAAGCATTTTTGGGCTGTTGCTGTTCTTGTCGCTTTTTGTGTTTTTTCACCAACAGATTTGTTCTTAATTAGGCTTGATATCAACTTCATCTTATTCAGCATATCGGATTGTGTACTTGTACCAAACGTCATGCTATTATCATAACATGCACAATTCTACTGCTATGCGTCTGCACTATCAGGAAACTCGAGAAAGCAAGTTGTTTGACAAAACGAAAAGTTTCCACAGCCATAACTTTTTGCTTATAGGTCAGATCACATTGCTCTTTTTAAATCTTTTGCTCAGTTTTGCATGCTCTTTCTGATAGTATCCTCAGATTTGAAAAATTCGAAAGTTGAAAATTTGGTTGACCGTGCATTTTTCATGCTTCCGGAAACGCATTTTCCGGTCATTTGCCAGAATGTTCCCAGGGCTCAAAATGATCAGTGGCCAGAAGCGGACTGGCCCACCGGGACACCGGGAAATTTTCCGGTGCGCCCTTTGCCTCCAAGTTATTTTTTCAAAAACTTGAAAACTTTCAAAAGGCAACTATAAAACTAAAACTGATTACAATCATAAATTGACCTCCTGTCTAAAGTACATTTCCATGAACAGTTTAGAAAATTCATTGAAGACGAAATTTTGATTAGCAGTTTCTACAAGCATTTTTTAAAACCTTGAGAAAAACATATTTTGTTTTGAAAATGGCTTTGAAAAAAGCATAAAATTTTAAACATATTAAATATTTTTTGTCTGAAACTCTTCAGAGCATCTAACGTTAGAATAAGGGTCCAAAAGAACAAGATGGATAATTCGATCCACAAATAGGTATGTATTCTCCATCTTGTTCTTTCCGACCCTTGTTCTTTCTTTACGTTTTATACTACAAAAAGGTCCATACAAAAGAGCTTTTAGTATGTTTAATATTTTTGCTTTTTTCAAAGCCATTTTCAAATTTAGTAGCGCCAAAAAATTGTTCATATTTTTTTTATTGACAGCAGTAACTGTGGTAGCAGCCAGAAAACCTACTTTCACTTCCAACCCTCTTTAGCTTTTAATTTCTTCAAGCAAGTGCGCAATACTTGAATTAATTCAATATCTGTTGAGGGGGTAGTAGGGGTTTTCACTAGCTAACTAGCACACTGTTTGTGAAACCCACGACCTTGAATAACCATATTAGTTTTTTGACTTATGATTAATGCGAATTATTTCGAGTATCTGATATCGAATAACTGAGAGGGCTCGCACATTGGAAAAATTAATTGAGCTCTTTACCTTGTGCTTTTTCCAATCAAAATGGTTATAACTGGATAAAACTATCGATGTAGTGGCCATTGGGTATGGTAACGTTCCCATATTACGTAATCAAAGATGGGTTGGGGAGGGGGGTTTTCACAATCGGTAACAGTCATTATGGCTATTTCTTAAAACTTGTTAGAATAATTATATAAGGAGAAGGGGATTTTTCAAATAATACAGTTTTTGATGACGTAATATGTGCATATTCCTTGTGTTGTCTATCTTGAATGATAGTCCTTTTTCTTTAGGCCATAAACTATCCCTTAATAGTGAAAACTGCTCTAGGTATGATAAAGGAATACTTTCTAAACGTCCTGTTGTTGGCAAGCTATTTTACTTTGCAATTCAACTAAAATCTCGTATGCATCATGCTTTTTGTACGTTACAACCAGGAGTTTTGTACCCTAAAAAAAACTATGACTAATTGAAGCCAAAAATCTTGACCAATTTTTAAAAAACTCTATGCAAAATTTGTTGAAGATTGATGCCCTCATGTAAGAACCTTCTGTGAACTTGATGGAAAGTTAAACCGGCTGTTTTGATAAAACTGGTTTCAAGTTTTATCATCAAAGTATTCCAATCTTCCTTCAAACTTTTGTCCCAGAAAAGAGACTGTGTCTTTTCTTAAGAAATTATTTATCCGTTTTACCATGTCTACGCACAGTTACCCATACCGAAGGAGCCATCAATCTGCAAAATAATCAATTTGCGCAAAATGGACGGCAGCAAGATCTGTTAAAATCCATTTGTCCAAGATATGTTGTCAGATATTTTTCGGACAAGTCTACATTTTTAAGCACATGTTCAATACCTGATCATAAATCATATCATTTGTAAATGATTTGCAACTGTAGCGTGGAAGCAGGAACAACACAGTCATTAGGCTAGCAGGTGTTGAGGTACCGCTTTCCGTTTTTTCAAAGATATGCTGCAAAACTTTCAAAAATTTATGAGAATGAAGTGATGTATTTCGTCAATTTTTTGAAGATTTCGAGATCGAGTTTAATCGAAAAAGAATCTCGTCTCCTAGGCCAGAGCAGTTGCTTTCTTTGTAAAATCTTGGAAAAAAGTGTCTCGCTAGGTGAAAAATGGCTTTGGGCTCTGGTCCAACTTTCAATATCTATCATTTGGTATCATCATTCAGGAACGGTCTTAGGGACTGTGGGGCGCGGGGCCCTTGTTCTTTACAATTTGTTTCTTTTTTCTTAGATGTAGGGCCCCTTTTGGCTACCATAATCGTGGGGCCTGGAGCTATGGTCCGCCTGGACCCACCTTAAAACCGCCGCTGTCAACATTTGATACCTAAAATTGAGGGCAATACATCATTTGATACCTACCAATTTTATTAGTCGTGTAGACGTTTCAAATACGGTCAATTTGACTGAGAATCTTCTTCATGCCAATGCCAATTGTGAATACAAAACTTTGATTTTCGAAATGGGGCATGTTCTGACATTCTAAATAGGGTGATTTAAAAAAATTTCCGATGGCCAGCCCCCGACCCCCCTTTTTGTTTCCTATGACAGTGTTTGCAACAAACTGATTCTCAGGTAAAGCAAAGTTTTTCCGAGCCCGTATTACAAGACCAAAAGTTATGCAACTTTAGCACCTATTGGCGCCCTTTTGGCTAATTTCCCGGTTGGTCAAATGGTTGCCAATCCGCCACTGTCAGTGGCCTCTACTCTTATGATTTAAACTTTAAAAACTTCGGTTACCCAGTTTGCTAGATTGTTATGCAAAATTCCCTGTCTAAAAGCGCTAAGGGTTACGACCACTTGATTTTTTCATCTCAGAGTTTTTAAAACATGTTCAAAATGTAGTTTTTCTTATACTTTATGTGTTTGGAGAAGGCTGTTGCCCGAATTTTGCCCGAATCTAGGGGGGCTGACAGTGATAATGGCTACGCATTTGATAGGTATGACAAGCCCTGGGGCAAGACAGCAGAAGAGACTTTCCTGTCAGCGATGCGAGCAGAAAAAAATTGCGACCACCCCCTTTGGTTTAGCGCATAACTTGGTTGTCAATGATATTGTTTTATTGTTTGTTGTCAATGTTTGTTGTTTAAGACTTCGAAAGAGAGGTTGATGTGAAAAGGAGGGTGAAATGATATCGAGAACTGAGTAGTGTTGCTAGTGACAACATACTAAACGATTTTGAAGCCAAGGTGGAAGAATTTATCTGAAAGAACAGGTTGAGTCGATCAAAATGGACGCAGAAGCACTACACCTTGAAGTAGACTATGTTGCCAGTAGTGGTGTCATTCTAAGTGTTGAACAGAAAGCAGCTTTACAGTCGTCTCTTATTATTTTAAAGACACAACAACAGCTTTTAAAAATTCAATTTTGGGGGAAAATTCTTGGAACAAAAACAGACTACTTTATTGTACAAGGAGTTGGAAATGACGAGCTTAAAGAACGAAAGACCCTTTACAGGTTAGCCAAGATTATTCGATCTACGCATCTTAAGGCTTGAAATCTAGAATTCAAATTGTTCATGTGACAAAATAATCATTTTCATACATCATTGGAAAATCGGGCAAGTATGATTTCTTATATCTGATTTTTCTGACAATCTTAGCTCAAAATATTGGGTGCATCCCTAGGTGTAAAGTGTGCAAGACCACAGAATCCGTATTGAAGTATGCAGTTAAAATTTTGATGATATTCATTCTTCAGTCTTAATATTGAATCTAGAATTTATTTGCCATTATAGTCATGATCATTTAGTCCCCCATTTTTTGAGCTGAAAACCAGGGGTCCCAGGGGGCTTAATTGCTGGAGCTCCAAGAAATAACACAACATATGCAGGATGAAAAACTGGCCCCTGAAACAAAGTAAAAAGCAGCTTTAATGTTAAGTTTCAAAGCTTTATCAAAAAGAAAACTTTCAAAATTTCAGTACTGATTGCATAAAATGGGCTCAACTGCAGTTGCCTGAAGAGGAAACAAAAAGGAGATGCCTCCTAATCAAAGGAAGGTTTACAGGAGATCCATCACACGAGTATGAATATGTAGAGCGAAGTACAGAGGCTGATGATGGAGAGCAGGATGAAGAAGAAAATACAAATATGGTATGAGTTTCCTTTTAATGAAAATTTTTATTTGTCTACTGTTTAATGCATGATGCAATATAAGTGGTATTTACATACTCATCTCAAAGTTAACTTAGAACCATCCAGAGGTGGCGCCAGAAATCTTCCAAAAGAGGGGTTGGAGCTTCCAACAGGGGGGCTAAAATGACTAAAATAAGCAGTTTTTGTGCGTTTTTTGTCAAATTTGCTCCGACATTAACCTAAAATTTCCTCCGATGGAGGGGCTAGATGCTTCCGACAGAGGGGCTGTAGCCCCCCTAGCCCTACCCTTGTGCCACCACTGGAACCATCTTGTTCTCTACACCAAAGCCTGATTATATTTAAAATATACCAGATGGTAAGATGATTTTTAGGTCCATAGTCAAATGGCAGAGTATTCAAGATGCACACAAAAGTTTGTTGTATGTAGAATTGCTGATAAACAGTTCAAAATTGCAATCAAACCTGGCAATTGCCTTATCATGACATAACATGAATGTTTACATGCAGCTAATTTTGTTGAAATAACTGCACATGCAGGATCTTCTTCAGAACTACCTGCAGTGTGGTCTATAACCATACTTTCCTAAGAGAGGATCCCAGTCACGCAGCTGCAAGGGGTAAAATTCCGTGAGATTTTTGCTTTGGCAAGAGAGGACATTTCTGAAAAGTAGGCAACCTTAAACCAGTTTAAGTTCAAAGAATCCCATCATGTCTTGAAATATTCGATTTTGATGTGTGTAGCTGTGCCGTCACAGAATGTAGAGCTTTGGCATAGGGTGGATGCCTTTTTTTATCTATGACAAACATTGATGCCCCAAGAAGTCGATGTGCACTTGTATCCTTTTGTGCAAAGTTTGTATTTTTATGCAAAGTTTTTTCAGTCCATCGAAGGCACAAATTTCTATTAGTAAATTTAGTTAAAAATGAAAACTTTGCAATATTACGATTAGTCCAAACTGTCCAGTAAATTTTAACAAACACTTCTGCTCCTTGTTTACATTGATGAAGTTAATTTTTATGTCAATTTTGCTTCCTGCTTGCTGAAAGTTGCTATATCCTAGCTGTAAAAGTGGCTTTTGTATATTTGGCATCATCACCCTTAACCAAAGGAATATTGTGATTAATACAGAAGAAAGAGCCGTAATCATTTGTTTTCTTTCATACAACATACAAAAATGCAAAAGCTTTTCACAGTGGGCACAAACACAAAATTTGTTTGATTCCAGATTGGTTTTCCTATTGAACGCTAGTTGTTTCATCCAAACAACTTTCGCTCAACTGGCAGGTTGCCACATGAGATGTGCTGTATGACACAGCCATTTTGATATGTAGAAGTGAGGAATTTGTGTTTAATTTTAATCTTTAACTTAAATCTTATTTCGTTTTTTCTACAGGTTTTGATAAAGGAAGAGGATCGTTTAGCCACTGTCATAACAGCTATTGACCAGGAAGTTGCCATTGTACCAAGAGGAGCATATATCAGAGTCCCCACTGGTGAAGTTCGAAAAAACAGGATGTTTGAAGGCAAGTCAATATCTTATGTGAAAAGCTTGATTTAATGTGAGCCCTAGAAGTTTACAAAATTTCCTCTGTTTACCATGATTGTTATCCAAAGTCACTTCAGTATCATTCAAAGGAAACTTTATCATTGATAATATTGAAATAATTTTCATTAACACTAAGTTAGTCTTTTAAACCATTCTTTCACCATTCTAGGATTGTCACCTGCTGAAGCTGGAAGACTTTCATCGTATTTTCATTTCAGAGAACCAATATTTCTTCAAGAAAAATCATTGTTGCAAAAGGTAGACATTTTTCTTTCTTTCTTATTGCCTTTTTCAACCAAGGTCCCTCAAAATTTGAAATGTTTTTGACATACCTGTTCAACAAGAACATAAATTGTTATTTTTATTCTCATCGCAAAATGCAGTCTATTAAAACCAGTGAAACATTTTCAGTTACCAAGAATTTCCATCCCATGGTCTTGTATTTATTAGCCAGAATTTGAAAGCAGAGCTGTCTCTTTTTGGCCACCCTCTGCACGCTACTGGGTGATTCCACCAACCTATTGTTATTAGCAAAGGGTGTAAACCTAATGCCCTGTTTACACTACACAAACTAACCTGGGTTTGCCCCACATTGAAACTAACCCAGGTTAGATTTTTGTAGTATAAACACAAACTAACCCAGGTTTACCCCAGGTTAGTCAACCGATTTTGCAGTGGCGTAGCTAGCCAAATAGCAGTGGTCATGCCCTCCCTCAAATTTGAAAAAATATGGGTGTTGCCATATTCTGCCACGCCCAATTTTTCAGTTGATGAGTCCCTTTGGGAAATTTTAATTTTATGGCTTGCAACTTATAAAAAAATTTTTGATGAACCTTTGGAAAGAGCTTTTCTTATTATTTTGTTACACCATAAAATGACCTTTGTGTCTTATAGCTGTGACACTGTTTTGGTTTGTTGGTAATTTATACAGACAGAGTTCTGACAATTTCAAAACAGAACTGTACAAAAGACATTAGAAAACGTTAGTTTAGTATAGTAGATAAATTAAGCTTAAACAAATAATTGTGTTATTCTCCTAATTTCTTTCAATTTGCAGGCTGAAATACATTTGTAAAGTTTAGAGATAAGCTAAAATTTGTAAATAAAACAATAAATCACATGAAACTGAATGGGAGCTTTTTGGTCATATTTTTCACAAATAGTCTTATTATCAATCTATTGAAGGTAATTTAAAGCCATCACGATTAACTAACAACCCGAATAGAACTGATAGATGAATAAAACAAATGGGCAAAGGAATATGCAATGTAAATATTGATATGAAATATAGGAAGCTAAAATAATGGATAGGCCTAGTTGCAAAATGTTTCCTGCAAAGTTAAGACTTAATAGAAAAATACCTTGCAAAATAAGTTAAACTTGATAAAAAACATAAGTTTTCCACATTACTTTGTAGACACATACCACGTATACTGTATGTAAGTTTCTCTTTATACTCATAGCAAACAAGGTTTTTAACATTGATACGCAATACTACAAATGCCTATCTCTCATATTTCCACTACTAAACTGAGCTATACCACTCATCGACTTCGTTAAACTACACATTACTAAAACTAACAGCTAACATCTGCTCTGTTGTGCTCATCTATATTTAAACATCTATAAATAGTAAAAAGACTTCAATTACAAGTGAAAGTCATAAGCTTGAGTTGACTTAATGGTGGAAAACAGTTATTGCATGTGATAATGAATAAAAAATTAAGAAACTTAAGCAAGTTTTAAGCATTCTTCTATTTCCAATATACTATAATAACACATTCATATCAATTCCTTCAATATCTCATTCACACTCTTATACAACACATTTCGTTTATTGCTCAGGCGTTCACTATCTCTCTATATCGTCTACCGTGATAATTACCTCTCAACTCTTATTCATATACCACTTCATCATCCCCATCCATCCATTCTTATATCTCTACTCCTGAACTCATAGCATCTCATCTATGTAACTATGCCTATATATACTATCTTTAAAAATTATCTATCCCATAAGTCAACTAGACAATGCATTATGAAAAAGCTGACGATTTGTTTGGTTGCATAAACATGATCCTGCTCGCTGATTATGCCCAAAATGGCCTTTCGTGCCTGTCACTTCTCCACATAGTGCAAACAACATTAGGCTGAAAAAACCCTGTCATTGCCATAAAATTCTGAGATAACATGAGTCGTGGCTGCTTGGCAATGAGCTTCTTTGTTGCATTTTTACTTACAGAGAATTACTCCCAGCTCTGGATCTTGGCATAGCAGACGCCGCCACATCATCTCATTCGCGTTCATATAAATAACACAGCGTTCTGTTATTTAATGATGGTCATGCCCTTGTACAATGGCATGACAGCTTTTCTCTCCCTGCCTATCTATCTAATCCTATTACTGAGGCAGATGAGACCCAAAGATGAACCACGTTATGGCATGACTAAATACACATTTGTCATTTCATAGTTATGCATACTAAATTGAAGACCCTCTGTTTTAGTCATGCCCGACAATAGAAGAGCGCCTTCGGAGGGCTCCATATTGTTGCGTGGAACCATAGGGCTCCAAAGGCGAATGGCCTGAGCTATTTCATCAGGAGAATACGACTTTATTCTTACGAAAATATAATTTTTTGAAAAATGTTATCTCTGGAAATAGATGGTCATGCCCGGCATGACAAGCATGACCGCTAGCTACGCCACTGCGATTTTGAAAGGTGGGTGCATCCTTGGTCGAACCTGGTTTAGTTTAGATAAAGTGTAGTGTAAACGCAAACCTGGGTGAGCCTGGGTTAGTTTCTTCATGAATCATGTGCAGCAACAGAAATGGTGCCAAATGCAAAACAAAGCAAAGTGGAATGGAAAGTTTTCTCATTTTATGAAGCCCATCGCATAGGCTTCATAAAATGAGAAAACTTTCCCATGCTTGGTATAATTGTTTTTAGAGTTGATTTATTGTATTCTGTAAAGTTCACAAACTATATACACATCAAAAACCCATTATTTTGTTTATCCTTGCCTTTTTTTGTGTTGCACATGCGTCATTATCAAACTAACCCAGGTTTGCCCTTGATTCTGTTTACACTACAGTATCAACAGTTTAAAGTGTAAATGCATCAGGGCTTGATCTGGATTTCTTTTAACCTAGGGCAAACCCAGGTTAGTTTGTGTAGTGTAAACAGGGCTTAAGATTTTTAGAGCATCTTTTCATTATATTTGCTTTTGTAGTTGTTGATTGATAGCTTTGGATCTAATGTGCTTGTGGGTTGCTCTCTTTCATACTTTGCACTTTGATAGCTTTAGATCTAATTTGCTCTCTTTCATACTTTCTATGCACTAAATTTCATTCTTTCTTGTTTGTACAGGCTGATCTTGATAAGGCCATTGACTTTCTGGATCCAATCGATGCTGACATTCCTCAAAATGGTTAGTTTTAACCTTTTTTGGTTAGAAATGTGCCTATTTATGTTCATTCAAAAGTACAAAGGTCTTGATGGAATTAATTTAGGCATCTGATGAGATCCTATTTTTCACTTAAAACTGGACCATTTGGGTTCAGGGAAATTGCTGCAAATTCTTCTAAACTGTCTTCTTTTCCTAATGTTGTTTGAATTTTGGTGCATAAAGTGGATCTTTGTCAGATGGAATTGTACAGAGGGGTAATACCAAGGTACTGCAAGGACCAGTCCCTCCCCCAAACAATTTCATGTGGTATGATATTGCCAACAAATAGGCCAAGATCCTTAAGGATCTTCAATACCAGAAGTTCATCCCTCCCCCATCAAAACATGTCTAGAGGTTGAATTCTGTCGAACTATCAGTCACCAAGGGGTGGGGAATTCTCTGCTGCTAATAAGACACCAAGTAAGTTGTGTTCCCCATCAAAATTTTGCATGTATGCCTATATTTATGTGAATTGCATTTTGCCATGTTTACATGCAATCAGAGCATTCTTCCTTGTTTTGCAGGGTCGTGGAGTATTCAGTTTGAGCGAGGTAGTGCAATTGTTGTTCTACGCAGCCTTCACTGGCTTGGCTTCACATTCTACCATGTTCCAGCTACCAGGAATTTCGGATACGTGTATGTTGGTACGGGAGAGAAAAACCTGGACCTTCCATTCATGCTTTGAGAAGCTTCTAATCCTAATTTCTTGTATATTATGTAAGATTGATACTCTTATTTTAACAGCTTTACTTAACTGACTTTTATTTTCTCTCCACGCATCTTCATAATTTCGTTAAAAGGAGATTAGCAAATTCGAAAATTGGGCTTGAAGGGCTTGAAGTAGAGAGTGAAGGCCGAAACAAATGATTCTTATTCTTTTGGTAAAAAATGATGGACAAATTCAAAGAGCATCGTTTTCTGACAAAAATCGTACAAATTCCAAAACATTTTGAAGCTCTTAAAAATCATTCGGTTTACTAGTATTCGAAGTGTTGCCTTTTTTACTTCATGCTTGGGTTTTATTTCTACTTTAATTTCCTTGATATCACCCTATCCATGCACTCACCTATTCTTAAAAAAACTTTTTTGAAAGGATGGAAAGTCAAATAGCATTTACAAAACTGCTCCACAGCGTTAAACATAATAAGTTTTGTCAGATCGTATCCGCCACTCGTCAACTGAAAGGTCCCATTTTCCTGCTTATGTTCAAAGATTTTAGCTACTTGTTTACAATCGAGTAACACAATGAAAGACGACGAAAGGAACATCTACCGTCTTGTGTTGAATATCATTGAATATATTAATGTTTTTATAAATGTCGAATTCAGCCATTGATTCGTTAGAGGCACAGCAAAAATTGTCCACAGGTTCATGTTCATTCTTTTCTTTATTCATCCAACCCAAAAGTATCATTTCTTACAAAAGCTATCGATTAGAATATAATGGGATCAAAGACACATCTTTCTCGCGATACCTAAAATTTTTCTTCAGAGATTTCAATTAAGGAAATTAGCGCATTTCTATCTATAATTTCTATCTTGATTACTTATAAAGGGCAACACATATGCAAGTTTTGCATACTTTTGCGAGAATTAACAAACTTGATTTTCAGATTATGATAACTAAAGACTTGTCAACCCAACATTTTCAAAATCTGGAGGTTAAGATTTTGTCTTAAGACAAGCAGGAAGATTTGGCCAGAAACACGGAGAACACGGGAAATTTCTGTATTATGCAATCAACATACCTGTATAAGGTTGTGCTGGGCAAACAGTTAACGACAAAATTTATAACGACAAAATTTCTTCTTAATGAATTCTATTGTCAGTTAATTCTTAAGCACTAACAAAAAATTTTGTCTCGAAGAATGTCATTTCTATCATTTTTATTATAAGAATACCTCTGCTAAAAGAAAGTAGAGAAACAGGGAGAAAGTTTTGATAAAACCGGGAGTCAGGGGAAAGCACGCAAAACCAGGAGTCCCCGCAAAATCAAAAGATATGATAGGTTACGCACGCACACACAGTTTCGTAGAAGGCCCTGTGTGTGAGAGTTGCATATCTTTCAAATAGTTACCTTTGTTAGTTTCGCAATAAATTGAAACATGTCTTTGTAGAAGCCAAGTAGCCCGGGGAATATTGTTATTCATTTGATTTAGTTTTCACATTTTCGTTTTAAATCACTATCAATTAATTTTTCGTCAATTTTTTGCCCTGCTCATTGAATTTATAATTTGGTTGTGTTATGTATAGAATCATTCACTTGGTTGCCGAAAACATCTTTACGAAACTCTTTAATATCTTTTGTCTACATTTCTAAATGAAGAACATATAAAACATGCCATTATAATATGTAATACGACCATTTGATGATGATCATAAGGATGAAAGCAACGGGGTTTTTCTTAGGCTGAGTGAAGATATCTAAGTTTTTTCCGAAATTGATTTGAAATTTAATTTGATCTATGAATAATTAGCCGTTGAGGGTTGTATAATTTGTTAAGTGATTATCTGCTTGGTCTATAATTAGAGATAATGCTCGCTGCAATAGCACTCTTTAATCCTTCCACAAACCCTTTCAGGGAGCAGTTGAAACAAAACTTAAATACTTAGTGAAAAAGGTAACGATATTGGCAAAAACGTATTTATTATTGTCGCATTAGAAAATCCATCTATTCTCTTTTTTGTACCAACAGGACAACGTGCTCAAGAACCATTCAATCATTCATTCATAAATATAGCCAGCAATACTTAGTAGACTCAAACATGCTAGAAATAATGTCTTTAATCCCTTCTAATTATTATATTTTGATGCAAGCAAATGTCGTGTTGGTCATCTGCTAGAAGTTTATCAAAACTGATGTCAGTAGAATGTCAGTCAATCTCTTTTGCAACATGCTTTTAAAGACAATGCTGTCACTAGCTATTGTGTTCAAAGGTGTCCCCAGGTCCCATTTGCCGAAAAAGTGGATAAGGCTTCCTTTACTCCCAGATTGCAAACTTCCCCAGTTTTGAAAAGGGATTTCTTCATTGGAGCGTTGCATCTTTAATGCCCCTTCAGTGACGGTAATGTTTACAGGTATACATCTCAGCAACTCTAGCTAGATCCTAACAAAAGCATTTGATTTTTTCTCATTTTTTTAAAGTTCATCAGAGGACCATATGATTTGGCATCGGCCTGAACTTGCTTCCTCTGGTTTTCCAAACTCTGTCTTAAAATAAGTTTCCCTAAAATATTGTTAAAGCATCAAAAATGGACATGTTATAAAATGATCTAGAAAGAAGGCCTTGACAAATTTTCTTGGGTCTTCCTTAACTGAAAAAAGGCTTTGTTTGTCTAGATCAGCCCATAATTTTCATTTGTGATATACGATCATTCAGTACAGAGATTTTTGTTAGATTTACTTTCAGTAAAGCTCGGAAAAATTAACCCAAACGAATATTTTGGAAACAAATTATTATTCTTCCGAAATTGTCAAACGCAAGGAAAAACACTAGACTTTTAAAAACATTGCTTATAAGCATTGAAATAGCAAAAAAATCCCTTGATATTTCAAAGATATCAGAGCATGAAGGCCTGCCTGAAGCGTAAAGAGAATCCCTATTATAGATCTTTTATCTACAACAATTGTTTACGCATTGCTTCATCCAAAACTTATTAATAATCATTTTCAACCTCTGGTTCTTCTTAATTTTTTCTAAATAAGAACCCCATCTCACTGTCACTTATTTTTCTCATTCAATCTCTAAACCTCGATAAAAAGTTCCAGACTGATCCTTACATCGCGACTGTTTACTATTTCTTTCAACTATCTTTTTCCAATCGTAAGATTTCCAAGTTCGGTATTTGGAACTCTGGACGTAACCAACAGATTTGCCTCAATGGGCTATAAAAATAAAATGGTGACAAGATTTCCCTTTTAATTGTATCCAATCATAGCAGCTGTCAATTTCATTTTTAGGTTTGTCTGCCAACCGTGAAAACATAACCGAATTTTTTTCAACTGAAACCAAAATTAATTCACCGAAACTTTTGGTACCGAATTTTGGCACTAAAAATAACCGTAATGGTGCCTGCACGAAAGGAAGCGGTCAGAGTGCATATATCTTACTTTTTAAATCTTTATAGTGCACCTAGCAGGCCCACTTTTATAGGTAAGTTCTAGATAGTTTGCCAATATCAGTCAATATAAATTTATAATATTCTTTTTATCGGTACTGTTTTGGGACAACAACAATAAATTTTTTGAAATGATTGGCTATTTCATCAGATCAGTCAGTAAAAAGTGCATAAAGGATCATTAAATGAACAAAGAATGCATGTTTGGAAATTAAAGTGTGAAAAGAATTATGCATGAGTCAAAGCAGTGCTGAGGTTTTAAGCCCTGAACAAAACTGCGAAGGAGCCAAAGAGCCACAACAGCAACACCATATATTTGTTATGGTTGATGAAGGAATCGAAAAGTAGAACGATGTTTCGAGGATTGGTTTGTTATGAAAGTGAAGATGAAATGCAAGATGACAAGGCTACTAAATGTACTGACTTGAGTGATGATTCTACGGAGGAAAATGGGAAAGAATGTGGTTGTGAACTGAAGAAAGAAACTGCGAAACATAACGAGTGTTTTGACAAAAAGAAGAGCAGAAATGATTTAGGTTTACAAGATCAAAGAAAAAAACGCTTGGACAGTTTCAAAGAACGACTGCAGAAGTTGAAAGACAAACACCCTAGTGTCAATAGTAGCAGTGGTAGCATTGCATCTAGACACGATGTTGCCATAAAAATTGAGAGACCAAGAGACTATTGCTCAATGAAAAAGAAAATTTCTTTGAGCTATTCACCCACGTATACAAAGAGTGCAAAAAATTATGAACTTGGGAAATTAGGTGAAACCTCTAAAAGCAAGCAATCTGAGAAGAAGTCAAAAAATGCTGATCCAATTAGCAAGATTGTGAAAGACGTTTATACAAAACAAAAGGCGAGGAAATGTGATTTTGATGTTATACCACAACTGCAGTGTCAAGATTTCCAAATATGTGAGCAATATGATCCACACGGAGCCAAAAGGAGCAAGATTGAAAAGGAATTAGATGAAGCAATCAAACAAAATGACCTCGAGCTTGCAGAGAAAATTAGTGATGAAATCTCAGAAAGAAACATGGCCAAAAATATTTCCCAATCGTTTAAAGCAAATGATTTTTTGGAACAAAAGAAGTTTGCAAAAGAAAAACAAGATAGGAAAAGAAAGAAGCTAAAATGGATGTTTGATCACAAAGAAAGATGGGAATTGAAAGGAAATATGTGAATTGATTTGGTGTATATGCTTATAATATTTGTTTTCAATTTTTTCTTGTACAGAGTTATTTTTAATGCACATTGAATATTAGCAAAGCTGTTTATTTATCATTAAACAGGCAGAAGAGCTTCTCTGTGTATGAATTTTCATAGTTAAACCTGGCTACAGCTTATTTCCATTTGGCTAGAAGCCAAATCTTTTTTCAACTTTGAAACTGAAATAGTCTCTTCTTCACATGCTTGTCCCTTCACAGGGTTTTAATCTGTGTAAAGTTTAGAAATTTTGGAGGGGTACTCAGTAATTATCTTTTGATGGCAAAAAGGATGTATTTCACTCTTTAGGGGAATGTTAATGATATGAATAATTTTATTGATATCATTTGCATACAGATTTCAATGGCAAGGACTGGGGCCCACACATTTCAAGTGACTGGAAAATGATAGAGATTTTAAAAATTCAGCTTTTAACTTCAAGATAAAGACAATATGAAAAGAAGATAAATAAAGTAGAATTTTACATTCGATAAAAGTTTTCGTGAAAATTTCCAATTTTATCACCCTTTTTGAAATTCTTCGACATTTTAGGAAATTTATATCTTTTTTGTTTGGTTTTTCTGCTCTGCCCGCATGTTAGTATTTCTTTTATTTAAACAGCTCATAAACCTTGTGTTTTGGCAAATTGATTCAAAGAGCAAGGCATTACAGTAAACCTTGTTTACAGAATTTAGATTCAACCGCCCGCCAGACCATGAAAATAATAAAATCTAGGCCATAAACACTTGCGTGAAAAATAGAAGATCGCTCTCCCCCGGATTTCTCGGGCGGTAGGGCTTCGGGAATGCACTGTCGCTTGAAGGCAACCAAAACACACTGATCAGTGCCAAAACATTTGTGTTGCTGCTGCGATAGATGGTGACCTCGTTTCCGAGTCATTTTACGTCATTTGTAGCGGGAAGAAAGAAAGTGGATGTTCTGAAGGGGAAGCGCAAGTGAAGATTTAGGACCGTAAATGTTTCATGTTTTGTTGCATGTTTAGCCAATAGAGTACATTTAGATCTATGTTGATTTATCGACTACATATTTAAATGGCAGAGGCAGAAAAGCCCGCCACGACAATGGAAGAGAAAGTCGAGAAAGCGTTAGGCCTAAAAAGTGAAGGCAACGAACACTTCAAGAACAAAGACTATAAATCCGCCATTAGGAAATACCACAACGCACTACTTTATGTTAAAGGACTTTTAGATCGTGCAAAGACTTACCAATCATTAGGAACCGCTTTGCCCGAAGTAACGATGCAAAGTCCCCCAAGTGACGAGCTTGAAGAGAAGATAAAGGAGCTGCAGTTAACGTGTTACAATAATTTGGCAGGCAAGAAACCAATTTTACCAATTAGCTTCTCAAGACAAATTTAGAAAAATTTATTTTTTATGGTTTTCGACATACACTTCCTCAAAATATTAGTCAATGTTTAAATGTTTTACCATGACCATGTTTGATTAAAAAATTAAACAAAATTATTTCTTCACAAGCTACAGGCCTACATCAGCTAATGTCCACCCATTTAATGTCACTTTTTACATGCATTCACACTTTACTTTACAGTCAGAGAAAAGAAGACCAAAATATGCAAAATTTACTTCTCAATTTAGCTCGTTTTACTAGCAGTCAAAGTTTGATTCTATCAATGCTTTTCACTTGAAATATTGTGTCGATTATAATCAGAGTCTTAAGCTGCAGAAACCTAACCCAAATTAAAATATCTTATGTCTTGTGAAATTACCATGCTCTTAATTAGTTTTAGGGAAGAGCTCAATTTTGTAAAAGGAAGACTTTGAAGGACCAATCTTTGCCAAAACTTGATGACCATTTCATCCCCTCACTCAGTCTTTTGGTAGTTCACTTCAATCTAGCCCTTTGGTAGTTCTGAACAAATTTCCTTCTTATTATAACTGTCATACTTCTGTAAATCTCAGTTGTCCATACAAAGGGAATATTCCAAAAAGGCATAGAGTCATGTTGCCCATTATGGAACGATTCAATTTTTTCATGAATTCTTACTGTGCAATGATAAAAATAAATATGAAGGAGTTTAGGTTTGTTTATCTTCAAAAAACTGGGGGATAACTTTTTTTTCTTTACTCTGAATTTAAAAACAAATGGCTCAACAAAAGTCTGATTTGATACTGAAGAATGATAAAGGTAGCAGGAAAGAAGGCAGATAATAATTCCTGGTTTTTCTCCATTGTGCGCTTTTCAGCATGCCTAAATTTGAGTCGTTCCATAAGGGGTGATGGCCTAAGTTTTTCACGATGAAAAATAGCCTGTAGTAATGTTGCTCATGCAGAAAGAAAAAAAAGCCGACAAGACTGTCTTTACACAAGCATGTAGGTTATACAGCAAAGAATGTGCTTGTAGTACTTTTATTTTATTAGGAAGTATCAAAAAGCAGAGGAAACAATTTTTACTGAAATCGTTCCATAAGGGGCAACATGACTCTAGCTTAGTCTAGACCAACCAAGGTACAAACAGCTCATGATCTAATCCAATCAAATCATTAAGCAACTGAGTTCATGCCAGCATTTCATCAGTTATTTTCACTACCTTGCATGCAACTACAGTATGTATATTATATATATTTGCTTGTGCTACAATAATTGTTGATTATTAATATTTTAATTATTATTGAAAAAGTATTATCTTACCTGCTTCATTATCAAAATGATATCTGGTTAACAAGACAATGCTCTGGATTGATTTGCTGAGTATTTGTATAATAAAAGTTTTTATTTTTATACCTAGCTTGTCTTCTTAAAACTGAAAAATATGACCGTGTTTTGGATTACTCGAACAAGGTAAAGCAACAGTTATTAAATATTCACCTGATTAAGCATCAATGCATTCATTAAAGTGCAAACAATGTCTCCTAGAATGTTGAGATTTTTCAATTACCAAACAGTGATGATGTAAGAGTTTACAATTACGTTGTTAAAAGTTTACCTACTGGTGGTGTGGATGAGTGTTAAAAGCATAGGGCTCATGATCTGAATTGCAAATGGCTTTGTGTCTCTTTTGGGTCACTTCCACAAGCTCCAGCCAACTCTGTTGGCCAGTCTTTTGAGGTCTGTATATGAGCACCTAAGTAGGGGCATCAGGACTGGGGATAGATGGTTGTCACAATCCTCAATAGTTGCTTGAAAAAAATTTTAATCAAGGTCTTTCCTGCAGAAAGAACATTTTCGGGATATTAGAGATCTCCACATCTTAAAATCAATAAAGAATAAGGCAATGGTAGTTGTCCTGTTGGTTATTCTCTTGATTATATTCCCTTTAAGGTAGACAAGAATAGGCCTTAATGATTTCAAGATTTCTTGTTGGTACTCAATCTTAAAAACCATGCCCTCTTTATGTAGTCCTTCTAGAATCTTTAGGCACAAGCCTCAATTGCTTGATTTCTTCATCATTTGCCTGCTTGCTTGTTTGCTTCCATGCTGGCTCATACCAGAAATATTGAACCATAAATTTGATATTAGAACCAATGATTATGCAATTTTTACTTCCCTAGCTAACCCAAAATTTTTAATGTAAATATATTTTTGGTTTAGGGTAATGGCTGTGACATCAAAGTTTACAATTTTGACACATTTTATTGCAACCCTAAGATCTAAGATGCTTTTTAAAAAGCTGAGACAGGGAGAATCAGCTTGAAATATTTGACAAAAAATAGAGTGAGAGTATCTAATTTTTTGAATGATGATTTAATCTATATGTTTGTTGCTTAAAAAATTTTATAATCTTTTTCGAGCTTTTTATCCAAAGCTCCATTGTCCCATATACTATGATACATTTGTACCATGTCTTTGCAAGGCAAAAAACCTCTCAGACTGTCTCTCACAATAATGTGGCTCTTTCAACGAGACACAGATTTTATCCACAAATTTTCATATTAATATGTTAATGACATTGACTATTGGTCTATTTGTTCTGTTCTTTTTTCATTTTATGGTTTCCATCTTTCCCTATTGTCTTAAAATCATGGTATTGACATTATTTGAAAGGCACTTGGTATCGAATCAAAGAATACAAAAGCATTGTTTAGGAGAGGGACAGCTTCTTACCATCTCAAGAACTTCCATGATGCTGAGAAAGATTTTACATACATCCTGGAGCTTAGTCCAAAAGGTACACATTCATTTATTGATCGTAAAATTGATAATCATATTTGGAAGATGTTGAAACATGTTTTACCTTAATTTTTACATCTATGCAAGCATGGGAAGTTTATATTGCCTCAGAAATACTGTCTTGTATTGATTGTGGTATAAAATAGCCAATTGTGGAATAACGGAAACTGAATGATGGGAAAGCTGAGACATACAAAAACGGAGTAGTGGAAACAAGGATTCAAGTAGTGGAAACAAGGATTCAATGTCAAACTTCCATTTCTAAAAAAAGTTTCTTAAGTGGATTGACCTATCAGCATTCGGTAATTGCGCTCTTCAAGAAAATATTTATCACTGGGTGCGCAACTAATCATTCTCAAAGAAAACCTCAGGGGCGTGCCTGCACGCTTGCACGCTATCACACCCCCCATTGAAAGCCCTGAGGTTGCAACGAACATGTTGTGATTATTGATGATAGATTGTACTGTCAATTTCAAAGCTGTTTTTGAAATTTCAATGAAACCTTCATAATTGAACCTGCTAACAATACACACTTCAAACCCAACATTCCTTATCTTAACAAGACAACTTTTGACAAGCTAATAAATATGACCATCCAAGAAAATATTTGTTTTTTTCTACTAGACACAACATATTAAGCATATTCACAATAAAACTAGCAACAAATTTTTCATTTCAAAAGAACAGCAAATTATGAGCAAAGATATATAATATGGATAAAGAATGATTAGCATTCAGCAGGTACAGAATGCTATAAGGGCTGAAAAAGCTCAGGAAAAATACTTTCGGAAGTGCTTTGTGCAAGTGCTGGCTATAGTTGGTGCCGCAAGGAAACTCTGGAACTAGCCATGTGAAAGCTAATACCTTCCTGAAACATAACAGCAACTTGGGTACAGGTGTCTGCTGTGTGTATGAAACTGTAAAATCAGGTTTTTATATGGATTAGTTAAGTTTTTACAAGACATAAAGTTTGGATTGCAAGTATAAAAGGCAGTAGGATTTTTTATGTCGAGTTATCTCTAATATTCAAGCAAATCTTGTATCGATTTTTAAAAATTTGGACTTTTTATTAATTTCCTCAACATTTTTTTCTATAGAGACATCTGTTCAGAAGTATTTGAAGGAGATAGAACTTCAGAAAAGGAATTCATTGGAAAAACAAAAGCAGATGTACAGCAAAATGTTTTGATGTTTTTCTTGCAGAAATTCAATGTGGTCATGTATAAGAGACGATTGTATATCAATTTTATAAGATCAAACCAATTTTTGTTGGAATCAAACAAACACATTCATTTATTAAGATATACTAGTTTCCATTTAGCTGCAAGCAGCTATTGAACTTGTTTCATTTGAATATTTACAATGACAAATTGTTTTTTATGTAATTTTAACATGGTTTTCATGATCGACTCCTTTGACAAAAGTTTCTGTTCAAATATGGTTTTAGCACCATCTTCAAAATGGTGGATTGTTTATTTCATATACCAGTAACTTCCTTGTAAAGTTTGTCTATGAACACAGCCAAACAAAGCACAATTGGTTATGGAGGATTTTATGGGTAAATGTCTCACCTCTTTCTCCTAAGCTAAGCACATAAGCATATCAGTGTGTCTAGGTCATCAAGTAAATCAAGGATGTAATGTTTTGCTAATTCAAGGTATTGGCCATACCTTAAGCTATCAGGCATGGATCCTGTGACAGGGTAGTTCAGTTCAGTTCATTCGATTTTAAAATAACAAAAAATTATATCTTAAAATGAATGACAATTCTGAATCCAGGAACTTTATAATCTGCTGGCAGCGTACATATTCATAGGTGTAGTAGACATAGAAGCTAGGAAGGCTGCGTACCAGCCCCCTACATCATGATGAATTTATCGCACTTCAGGCTATATTCGAACAGGATCCATACAAAACCACCCTAAATGTTAGCATCCGCTACACCAATGCATATATTAAGTAATTTACCACCTTTATCTCCCTTAAATAGTTTCTTGTCAGAAGTTGTATTTCTTGTCTAGAGTTTCTTTTTTCCACTCCCATAACTGTCAACAGGGAAACATTAATCTTTTAGGTTTATTTTTTGCACACTGTTACTGAAGATTAGCTTTCATTTGTCTTGAGCATTTACAGTAACTAATTATTATTTTAAAGATATGTCTCTTCATATGCATTGAAGAAGGAATATTCTACTAGAAAATATTTTAATTTCGCCTGAGGACGTATAAAACTGCAAAAACCTCTGCCAAAACATTTGAAGTATGTGATGCCAACCTGCCATCGATTTTTTGCTTAACTATAACAATGACAGGTATTTTAACGTGTATGGAGTTAAGGATATGGCGATGACATTCATTGACGTAACAATTGCTTTTGAGAGTGTTGTTGATAAAGTTTTACATCTTAATAAGTATGGAATCGTCAGTCTTGAACGATTGATCGATCGTCAGTCTTGAACATAACATACATTTTTGGTTTGCATTAACTCTGCAGAATTGCATTCTGTTATTCATATGTGATGCAATTGGCAACAAATCAGAATAACATCATCCAATTCTGGCGAAGAAATGGTGAAGTTCGATGACATCAACAATGGAGTGCGACAAGGCTCTCGTCTGAGTCCTCTCATATTTTTTGTCTGTGTTAATGGAAAATGAAAATCGCGTTACCATGTGTGACAACAGTTTCAAGAAAATAAACAGTCTTGAAATGTCATTATCACTCGAGCATCTGATGTAATTTATCTACCGAGAGTTCAAAAGATTTCCGACATATGATACCCCTTCATTTGCTATTTTCTTCTAAGAAATCAAAATCATTGGGAAAACTAGGTATTTTTTCTAACTGGCGCAAAATCTCCCTTGGAACGGTTATACTATATTTTTGTGTGCTAAGGTTTCCCGAACTTTATGATTCTCAATGTATACTAAGAAATTGATACCCCTAGAATAGAGTTGAAGTAGAGATATGTTTTTGCTTGTGCAAAATAACATATCATATCTATAAGTTTTTAATCACTTTGTCATTATTCCGGGCAGTTAAAAATACATTTCTAGTAACAACATCTAAGCTTGATTTCTGAAACCAAAACATAATATAGCGAAAATGTAAAAGATGTTGTAAATAACACAAGTTACGGAACAACAGCATTTTCATCCATTCTAGTTGAAAGGAGAATCTGGAAATTCGCACCGCATCACCTGGACTAAAAGCGTTTTTTCTAAATGGCGATTCTAACGCCTACAATCCTTGACAGAAGTTCTTGGTCGATGTAAGATTTCGGTAAAATAAAATTTTCCGGCCGTAAGATACATAAATACCACCACCCTCCCCCTCCCCCAAAATAATGTTGGTTGAAAAGCCTGTTATTACCCTAGCTGATAAACTGACATTGGACAAATTTCAGGCTTTGAAACTGTTGTTATTCAACATTGTTTCAAGGGAGAGAGGTTGATGCTACTGAACTAATGCGAAATTGTAGCGTAGTGTACCAAGACTTTTGGCAAGCATTGTAGATGTTTATTTCGGGAAAAGCCACGATTAATATTAATGCTGTGTAAAAAACAACATGTTTAACTAATTTAAGTAATTTAGAAGTTAACAGATATTCAAATAGATTTTATGATTAGTGGGTTTCTGACGACAGGCACAGTACACTACACAGTCGTTTGAGACTTTAGAATTCTACGAGGATGCACTCACACGTGTGAAAGTAAAGGTTTCTCATATGGCAACCGATGATAATATAGAATTTTCAATTCTCTCTTATCTTCATGCAAGAACAGAGGGATAGCAGGGTATGCGTGTACGTGATGGTACAATAAAGATGAGTTTCAAATTCAGTAAGGCTTATTATTTGAAGTCTCAAGGTAGAGTAAAATCTGTTTGAATTACTAAATGTTTGAATAGCAAAAGGTTTACCGATATAGAAATAATTATAAAGGGGAAGAAAGTCTGCATGATTTAGGACAAATTATCTGACTTCCATGGATATCTGGCTTTGGGTGCAACTATTAAAGCCTAGCGAAAAGATAACTGTTGACAATGTTTTTTTTCTGAGTACTGTCCCAAAGTAAATAAATTTAGCTTCCTAATTCAAAAGATGACGTCAAATCCAGGAGGGAATTAGACAATAACTCGAAATAAAGGAAAAACACAACATGGACCAAGAAATGAGCTGAACCAAGCAACAAGAGTTTTGTTTATGTCCCTTGGTTAAAAATTAGCAGTACCTAGGCCACAGTTTGCACACACAGAAGAATTCACGCAGATTCAAAATGTTCGCTTTCATGGTTAAAACAGCCTCACTACTGGTATTGTAAACAATTCAGATAAATTTATCCATAAACAAATGTATCGTAATTTTATCGAAAATATTTACCAGCACCTCGACTTGAATACCTACAATTTATGATTTTTTTCGAGATGCATCAATTAAATAATATTTACAGCTGCATATTAATAAAATAATACGTTTATAATGATTCTTTTAAACCTGCAAATAGAGTTCTAAAATGTGACGTCATCAAAAACCTTTTTAGAATTTTTGAATTTTAACCACATAGCGTAACAGATCACCATGAAATACTTTCAAATAGGCAAAAGATCACAATGAAAGATTTAAAGTTTGCTAAGGAATCACTGTTATTTTGGCTCTGTTTATAAAGTTAAGAACAGAGACCAAAATACAGAGGTTTGATGGGGAGAGAACCAATAAACATGTGGCCATATCTCTGCCATTTCGTAATACACTTGCCTGATTTTGCAAATTTAGAGGTATTTCATGATGCTCTTTCAGGTTATGGGATCCAAATCAAAAAATTCTAAAAAAGATTTGAGTGACGTCATCACTTTAGAACTCTATTCTTAAAGCAAGAATTTAATGATTTTTTTAATTATCATAAAAAGTTTTCCCAATTTTAGATTTTATAAAATATGAGGTGGATAGCGATTCCTTATATATAATAACTCCAATATTTTTGCAATTTAATTGTTTACTAATATGTCGATAATTGCTAACATTAGTTTAAAATGAGGTATGACCTCAGGTATGCGATGCTCAACGGCAGCCTCTTGCACAGGAAATTTAACAATGCGTTGGGCAGCGACCCTCCAAGGTTCACCTTAAAAAAATCAAAACAGCAAATTACAAGCAAATGAAGATGCAGTGAGCAAGTAAAGTTTATGTTAACTTAGCAGATTTATAATAAACTAAAGAGCTTTCAAATATAACAGCTAAAGTGCTTAATCTTTAAACATGTCTTATGCTTCATGAGGCTATAAAGGGGGTGATAATCACAAAGAGGGCAATATGAATGGTCTTCTTTAGATCCTGAAAAAATTACATTTGATTTTGTTTGTAACAGAGGAAAACAACAGTTTAAAGCTTATTATTTAATGAGACAAAGAATATCGGATCAATAAACTGTTACTAAAGCAATTGATTTTTGCAACATTAAGCCCCCCCCCACTTGAATTGTTGTACGATCCATTGATTAAATCCTGCTTTTGGTAGAATAGCTTTGATTTCACAATTGAAATTGTAGGTGGAGACATACTTTTAAGGAGGTTCAGTGTTTTTAGACAGGTTTTAAACCTTCAATGCAGTGAAGATTTCAGAAGCCTTATGTTTTTAATGAAGTGGTCAACTATAGAAAAATTGTATTCCGTTAGCTCGGACCTTCAAAAAAGGTAAGGACATGGTCCGACTTAGCGAACAAATATCTGAGTTGTGAAGCTGTTTAATGTGAATAATGTGTAAAAGGGAATAGGAAATCAGTCAGAGTTATCCTGGGTAGGGCTCAACTGGATATCAAAGAGCATTTGGGAAAAACATCGCCTTCATTTCCAAAGAAAAAATACTACTGTTGTGTTGCTGCGCTTCACTGCATTGCTGGTATGCAATGTTGATTCAATATTTTCAATGTAAACACAATGTATGAATATGTATCTCAACCTAGACTTGAAACCACACTAGCAGGTTGCTACGAAGGCAGAGAAAATAATTACCTTCACTATATACCACACCAAAGACCATTCATTGCAATCCACAAAGTGAGGCTCGACAGCCCAACCACTTGGAAGGAGCTTTAAAGAGATTTCAGAAAGAACTAGTTAGAAAGACAATATGAAGCAAATTCTAATGCTAGATAAAAATATACGCCGTAAGATGAATTTGGGTTAAAAATGTTGCTCCACTGTTGCCTCTTTGTTGGAAAGAAATTTCTATCAACATTTTATGACTTGAACCGAGAAAAAAGAACTTTGGTTTCAATATTTCAAAAATTTTAGAAATAAGAAATTCAATTCAACTCGATTCAATATCTGTTTATATATACTGCAGTTGCTACGTAATATAAACGACTCAAGGAAAGTATGGACCTTAGTAATGACAAGGAAAGAAATGACAACAATAAACGAGTGGTTGATGTCATCCTTTTAAAACAAACGGTGTTACGATGAAGAAAAACATCAACTCAAATAACAACGTCATTTTGTTCGTTGATATAGTCAAGTGACCAACCTTCATTCGAATGATGTTTGGGAATTCAGGACAGTCGGGATGTTCGACGGACTGTGACGCGGCTATCATCATGTCACTCTAAAGATTAGAAAATGAGAGAAGGTGAAAAGTTAAAAAAGGTAAAAATTATACATTCACCTAGTTCTACAAGAAGTTTCATAGATAGATCATAAGAGGTTCGTTCCAATGTTGACAATAATTCCTAAAATAACAAGACGTTACGAAAATCTTCTTTAAGAGACTTCCTTATCAGAAATTACATGTTGTTCAAGTTGCTTTTGACTTGCAAGACAGAAAAGCCTATTCTCATTAGATACTTTACTACATACTATACTATATAATATACTATACACTATACTATTCGTATACGATGCTATTTACTATACTATATACCGTAATATGTACTTTATAATATACAATACTATATACAATACTATATACTTTACTATACACCATGCTATACACTTTACTATCTATATACGATACTGTATACTATAATTTATGCCATACTATGTACTTTACAATAAACAATACTATATAGCATACTGTACACTACACTATTGACAAGACTGTATACTATAAAATATGCCAAACCATGAATTTTACTGCATACTATACTCTACACCATACTTTACACCATACTATAAACTATACGGTATACTTACCATATACTATCCAAATACTATACTTAATAGCAGTCCCTTAATAATAGTTCAAGTGATTGTTTACCTGGTCTCGTTCGGAGTGAATTATACAGGAATCCCGACTATGCCTCATGACGCAGACTCTACCCTCATGACGCATATAAACTATAAAAAAGATATTGATGATAACTCAACTAAGCAAAAATAAAAACTTCCCTTGAAAAACCAAAGGTCGCAATCGTAAAATTAATTTTTTGCTGAAAGCTACAAATTATTTACTTCAAGATCATTGATAAAACACAATGTTGGAAGGACATAAAGAATGTCAAATTTAATTGCTATTATTGTGCTGTAATTCGATTCAAATATGACGAGCACACGCTCAAACACTCGCGGAATCCATACATCTGATGTCTAGCAAAAGAAACACTCTCGAATCAAAAGACTTGGAGAGTGAAACAGTTACAACCAGCAACTTCTGAATAATTAATGCATTGAAACACAGCCCCTTCCTTCAAAAAATCTTGTTTCAGGTTTTAACAGCGTACAAAGAAAATATACCTATTCAAAAACTGGAAGACGCCTTTCCCTTACAGTAGTGAATCTGGCACAAAAGATTATCCATATGGAAGCAAAAAAAACATGTTTTTATTCTTTTATACCCAATGTTTAAGAAGAACAAAAGCCGAGTTAAGATTCAGGATGCATTGGCAGCTTAGTAACAAAAAATGTTATCAATCCGTACCAACTTTAAGATTATCAGCCACATGTTCGACAACGTTGATTTTCTAAAAAAAAAGACAACAAATGACTACAGTTAATCCATTGTGATTTTGATTCTTAGTTCACAGTACCGGATTTCTTAGTGATCATATTGATCTCGCCATGCTGTGATACGTTGTGTTGCATAACATAATACAGAATTTACTCATGAATAAGAGATGCAAATTCAAAAATGGACTTGTACGCGTAAATAGCCAGCAAAAAATTCAAAGCAAGTTATTTAAAAGTACACGAGCTATAGTCTTTTGACTGATGTAACGTGTAATTAAGTGAAACTTTAAAGGCATCAAGGTTTGGTGCCGTTTCTGGAGTTTCTTAAAAGACGTGGGTGTAGGATGAATTCGTAGTTTGTAAATACCTTCAAAAGATTGTCATAGATAAAACGGGACAGTGGATTTCGTACGGACTCCCAAACAACACGAGGTGCGACCTTGATCACACCACAGCCAATGAAGCTTAAAAACAATGATATCAGGCTAAAAACAGCATGAAAAGTAGCAGAATCAAATAAGAGTGCCTTGAAAAATTCTTTAATAATGATAAATATATGGTGTTTTGAAAAATAAAGACGGGGTTATGAATGATAATGACAATTTGGTTATAATGAAAAATAATATGTTATCATATTGTCTTTTGCTGAATATTTATAAATCTGTTCTGCTAAATTAAGGAGCATTAAATTAACAATAAATTTGTTAAAATTTGACAAAATGCATCATAATTTTGATAAAAATGCAGCAATTACCAGCCAATTTAAAAATTATGCCTAGAAAGACAGTAAACAACGAACAAATGCTAATCTTTAGAGAGCATCTTAAGTGAAAATAGATACACAAATAGATAAATAGATATACAAAATGTTAAATGGTTTCTATTTGGTCAAATTTTTTTGGGGCTCAAAATCTAAGGTTGTTTGAGCCTAATTCTGCATGGGAAGGGTGGGTGTGGGAGGTCATTTGCAATGATTATTGCACTTAATTTGATTTAGATCAGCGATTTCTACACTGAGTGTCTTTGTAAGTATCATTTTACAATAAGGGAGCACCAGGAGTCGGGGGAGGGGGGGGTTGTATACTGGGGGCACGTGCCCACATTTTTGGCAAAATGCTCTAATCCATGAATTACATGCCTCTTCTTCTCAGGAGTAGTAACCCTTCCTGTCCGCGCCCCCTGCAACTTTGAATCGCACCCAAAGTTGCTGATTGCAATTTGCTATTATTTGTGCATGTTTAGTGCAAGAGTAGCCAGTCAAGCCAGTTTTGAATTGATGGTTGAAGCATGAAAAGAATGTTATGATGATAAGTAAACTGGAGCCTTTATATTGTTATATTCTTTGATAACTAGAAATGGGTCGGTGAGCAAGCAGGTATAAATGGATATTTACCACTGAACGCCGTTCTTCAATATCTTTCTCATGACAGTAACATCTTTGTCTCTTCCTAAAGGTCTAGAAAGATGAAAATTGACTCGTCGTAATGCTACGAGATTCTACGGTACGGTTACACTACAGGAGGCTAAAAGTTTTGATAACATCGAATTTTTGGTGATCACGTCTCTTTACACATGCTGTAAAAGTCTATGTTGAATAACATTAGACAGACTTTATAGATTAATAAGGGGCGCGAATGTGAACAAAAAAGGACGAGAATACGTAAATAGTCTGCAAAAATATAAAGCAAGTCCTTTGAAATCACTATCTTTAAGCCGAATCTGATTTGCTAATACTAATACTAATACTAACAATCGAAATAAGAAAATATTCGTAATGCTATCCTAAAACGATAACAAGCCACAAAATGTTGCAAAAATTAAGCTAACTTTGAAGGAGGGATGGTCTGTGAGAAATTTAGTTCTGTGGTAAATTGAAATAGTATTGAATGTTCACAACATAAAACAGACAACAATAAACTTCAAAAGATGGGTGACCCTTTGATTGAATAACATCACAAGAAATGGGGGGCTGGGTGGGGTTGGGGGTTGGTTGGGATTACTTTCCGTCGCACAAAGATGTCTATTGTTTCAGAGTTTGCTGCCACAAGGCTTTTATAACAAAAAAAGGAAATTATGAAATAAGCTCCTTGCTATTTGAGACTTTTCTGTGTACTTTCCAACCATGTCCCGATCTGTTATTGGGTGCGGGTGTTTTCCTATTTGTTAGTGCATGCTTAAATAAATGAATGATCGATTTTTTTAACAATTTGAAGAAGATTCTAATGGGATTATAAAATTACGACTTACCTCCAGCCGCCACATAATGGAGATTCTGAAGGGTCTACACCCTGTTCAACGAGATCGAGTGCATTTGAAGCCCAGAACACCTGTAAAAGCAAGCAAATAATGTGAGTACCTTGATGTCAAGCAGAAGTGTAGAAAGGTTCTTTATAGTTGAAGGGCACAACAGTTCATGGACACAACAGTTGTGAGGAACATCAGTTGAAAGCCACAGCAATAAAAGGGCTCTATAATTACCCTTTTTTAAACGAAAAACAAATTGACTTCATTAATGTTGTGTCATTCACCAGGAGTATTAGAAAAGTAGAACAACATAGTAGACGGGCCCTTTTTTTATTCTTTTCTATTAAAATCATATTTCTACACGATATCCCACCAGAAATTCAAGTATAAAGCTAATGTAAAGAGCTAATAATGCAAGAAAAAAATTTAAAACTTATTCTAATACTATGATTAAAATAAAGTAGATGTCTGATCTTCCTGAGACTCGTGTTTTAGTTCGGGATTCCTGAGCTCTTCAAATGTGTTTTTAATTTTCGTTTGTCCTGATAGATCTATTGGTAAACGAAGGGATCTCCCTTAGTTCTATTAATACTTCGTTGGGATGTTGAGATTTCTATTGTTTCATGTGTTATAACTAGAAATTTTAAGTGGCTAAAACCTCAGTGTAAATAATGAAGCAATACCTCTTTCTGCACATCTGCAGCAGCCTGGTTGCCTAAAACCTTCATCATAATCTGCCTTGCTTCCCTGTATTCTATAATGACAACAGTTTCAAGCAATGTAGCAAGGTAAACGAAAAGGTTATTTTGACAAGGAGGATATTGATGTATTTAGAATAAAATGAGTTCATCGTACAAGTTCACGTGGAAAACGCAAGAGGGCTCGTCACAAGAGGGCTCGTCAACTTTGAGAGTAAGAGAATCCGGTCTTGCTTATGTCTTGCGCTACGCAAGCATCCCATAATGCATTTTCAGACAGTCTGATATAAACTCTGGTTAATCCGTAAAGTTTACTGCCATTGTTTGGGTCGTCACCAGGACAATTTGTCACGCTCGCAAAGGCTCATTGTTAGCAATGAGTCTTTAAAGATAAACGTATCATAATTATCATAGTTACCTTTGCCAATGATGACATAATCCTCTTTGCATCTGAACGAAGAAGAGAGCGCGTTAATAATGATATATTCAATTTTGAAATGCAGTTTTAAGCGTTTTAAAATTAGCTGCTAGGGATAAGTTCAAAACGTACCCATGCGTGTGAGGGGGGGGGGGGGTACAATTTCTATTGAGTAACTTTATAAAAAAGGGTTGAATAAAAAAGGGTTAACTTAAAAATCATAAATGCATGTAAAGAATATCCTTTAACTTTTTGGTATATAAGATATAAGTGAACAGCCTCGTTGACCCATGACCTCTTGTCAGTGAATCAAAGAGCTGAAAACCGTACTAGCTGCTCTAAAGTAGGAAGGGGTGTCGCGAATTGGTTGAAGCACGACAACAAAAAACTCACAAGGTTTGATTTTCCATTCCCATTTTTTCCAACCAAAACCGTACAGCGATAACATAAAAAACCACAGCGAAAGCTCACGCCCACACTCTTCTCCTCACAATCACCCGTTCTACTCGATCCCCTCTTTTTGTCTAACAAACAATAAAAGGTTAAAGGTTATCCAGAAAAATATCAATTGTCTAGTTCTCTTGTGTCCTTCGCAGTAACGCACGCCTCCGCGACAGGGGGTCTTTTTTTTGTACCACGCCCTTCAAACACTCGCAAGTGCGGGGAAACGCTCTTTTTGCAAAATTTTCCCCCATCATTTGATTCATTTCAGCTATGGTAAATAGCAAAGTATTTTACAATTGTTATTGACAAAAGCATACAGTATACTACCCCCCCCCCCAATGAGTTTTACATCGTTTTTGGACAAATCTCGAGGACCATATTTCATAAAGTGGGGGGGGGGGTCCGGACCCCCCTATTCCCCCCCTTGGGTACGCCACTGTATAGTTGGCATGGAAGTAGACGATGATGTTGAAGTAAAGACAGTGGAATGGATAGAATTGAATTTATGGTGGCGTTCGTACTTAAGTATATCAATGTATTGTTGTCTTTCTTCTTCTAATCTTTCATAAAGCTTGTTAATATCCTGATCGCATTCCTCCTTTTTGTACTCAAGTTCCTCCATCTCTAATTCGATTCTACAATCTACAGCATCATCATAATCATCAAACTCATTTGAAGTGCTCTTTAGCCTTTCTTGCACATTACGTAGCTTCTGTTGAAGATTCTTGCTTTCCTTCACTTTTGTCAACATCCTGAAAGAAACACCCTCATAATACACATCAAAACCAAGAAACGAGAAAAACCGTATGTAGCAATCATATTCAAACTACCATCAAAAGTAGAAATCATATCCCAGAAGAAATTTCGTTTAGCTCGACAATAAAGGGTTCACATGGCTCATTTATAACAGTATTGAAAAAGCAGTAGAGAAAAACATAGAATTTCAGCGAAATATGAATGATGAGCGAAATTTAATACTTTGTCATCTAAACAAACCAAAGAAAATGTTTCTCGTCTCATCCCTTCAAAGTGCATAAAATTCACGAATATATGATCATATCCTTAATGGGCCACTAGCTTGTACATAAACACAATAAATTAAACTGAGAAACTTCGGAGCCAATAAATTGCAATGCTATTGTTTTTAAAGATAATTGATTCTTATAAGACAAATAAAGTTTTGTTTGGATACCATTTTAAAGGAACCACACAAAATTTGCAGTGAATTCTGTCAATTCTTATTGTCTGTCAAGCGTAGCCTGCGTTGATTTGCGAACTAAAAATAATCTTTGCATTCCAAAAGCCAGGACAACTTCTTATGGTATAGAAACTGTGAGATATTTAGGTCAAAAACTGTGGCAAACACTACCTCACCATATAAGAGAGTCCCAATCATTGGCAACATTTAAAAAAGAATTAAGAGCACACCCTAAAGAAGGCGACTGTAGATTGTGTAAAAAATTTATTGCTGGGTTAGGTTTTATTTAGAACATTATACCTTGAACCTTTTTAATATTGTATCATATATTTTTATTTCATACTAACTCTTATAGATAGTTGGCCTTAATTAGCTTCTTTATAGCTATCAGCCGTTCATTTAGTACGCCAACTTTAAACAAATTATTTATTATTATTATTATTATTATATATATTATTATGCGTCCTGTGACGCAGGCTAGTCAAGCGCTGAACATGATTCTTACCTTTCTACACTGAACTCTTGTGCAATATCAAGTGTGAATCAAAAGTTAAAAAATGGCCATGGGAACAAAACATTGGACCAACAGTTTTCAACAATGGTAAAACTCTGGGGAAAAATTCAGGACCCAAGGACACATTCAATGCCAAAAATGAGATTTTTTTAAAAACTGAATTGGCCCCAATATTTTTAGGCCTTTCTTATTACAAGTTTCTAAAGAGGTGTCGGTTAAGCGTCAAAAGAACCAAAACCACATGACTTAGCATATGTTTTCAGCCAAACGCGACTAGATTTAATTAATCTCTGCAGGAACTTATGACAATTTACAATCGAAGGTAAATAACTTACGACTTTTCAAGATCTTCTAATTTCTCTCTGCTTTTTGCAAGAAGATGTGCTTCCTTTGACAAATGCAGCGAAGATTTAGTGGGATCTTTGCCTTCAGAAACTGCAATAAGTTGCTCGACACTTCTGGATATCTCTTGGTAATGCTTTACTCTGGATAAGTCTGAACGAACTTTTCGTTTTTCCATTTGATTCAAAACCTTAACCTGTAACGATGCCTCTTTTTCCTCTACCTCTCTCAGCCTTGCATTCGTCGTATCCACATCTTTTTTCAAGACAACAAGCTCTGACTCTTTCTCGGCAATTTCTTCAAGGTTGTAGATCTCTACAGACTTCATTACGCAGTCAATAAACTCATTAATGCCCGCATATTTGTGTGCCCTGGAAAGGCCGAACCCACCCCAGCTCGTTCTGTGCAATTCTTTAATCTCGGAAGTCGCATCTTTCAGACTAGCTTGCAATGACTTTTCGAATAAATCAGCCACTTTTACTCTCGATTGGAGAAGCTGCTCTCTCTCTGAATTAACGTCAGATTTGATTAGCTCCCCATTGCAGTCACTTTCCCTTGCAAGAGCTGTCAATCTAGCTTGATCATCCTCTATTCTTCTTTCTATTTTCTTGCAAAGATCTAACGTATCTTGCTTCTCTATACTGTACTGATCTGCCTCCAAAGCCCTTGCATTTTTCAGCTCTAAGATCGACCTTTCAGCATCCTTTATCATATTTTCATATTTATCTTTCCTTACTTCTAGCCTCTCGCATTTGCTAGGAGTCTTAGACAAATTTCGATGCCTAATATCTGCAGATATATGCTGCATTTCATCTTGTGTCCCAGTTTCAAACGCGTTTTCAAATTCAAACATCGTTTTTGCACTGTTCTCTGCCGCCATTCCAACTTCCTGTTCAATATGCAGCGGACTACTGACACTATTAACGTACCTCAAAGTGTGCACACGGCCAGAATCTGCTCTCGAACGTGCTTCCTCGGGAGACTTTTCTTGTTCAATAAGATTTTCAGTAAGAACCTTTTGGTCCTTCAGTTCTTTCAGCAATGTAAAACCTTGCTGCAATCGCTCTGCATACTTTTTCTCGCAGACATCTACTGATGTATCAATATGTTCTAACTTTTTCTCATTAATAAGAAGAGCTTCTTTATGTCTTGAAAGGAGTTCCGCAAGGATCTTTCTCTGCTCCTTATTATTGCTGTCAGGACGCTTTGAGCGAACAGGCTCACTTTTCACTGCTCTTAATTTACCTTTTCCGTTTTCCTTACCAAGGTTTGAATTTCTTTGCTTCTTTTTTTCTAACTCAATACCAAGTAAACAGTTTTCATAAAGGTCCATTTTCTTCCAAAATTCTTCAACTTTACTCCGTATTTGAAATTTTCGTTTTTGAAGATCCCTTTCCAATTCCGGGGACGCACGGGTCTTTTTTCTCATCGATTCGACGATCCGATCAACATACCCTTCTACAACCGCTCTTCTTTCAGCCTTCTGCACCTTCGAATTGTCTTTGCATTCCATTAGTTCTACATCTGCAGTCTCCATGTTTTCTTGATGCTTTTTTAGCAAGTTTTCCAACTTTATTTTCTCTTGTTTCAATCGTTCCATTTCTTGATCTGCTTTTCTGCGAAATTGCCTGTCATTTTCTATACGATCCACTTCTTTTTTTCTATATTTGTTCATCATATCACGCACAACGTTTCTGCAAAATTGAAGGTCAAATTAGCTGACTTCTCGACTATGAAACAACAAAATGCAAGGCAACTAGAAAAATACTGAGCTGTTGTTCGGAGTTGGGAGGCAGTTCATATTATGAGTTTTTGAAAGAGAAACAACAACAATAAAATGTGGAGCTATTGGTTCTTGAAGCATCGATGCATCTGCATTTACGTTTTGGCCTATGCTAATAAAAAAAGAAAACTTTATAAAAGAGAGTAAACAGAGAAAAAAATTCAAATTTTATAAAATGTCACTATGTGAAGATGGATCTTTCAAGTGCAAAAGAAGCGTTTTTTCCATCGTCTTTTTCCCTGTTACGAATGCATGGACTTGAAGCTTGATTGTAGAAAAACAGTTGGAAAATTCAATTGCTGAAAAAATTCCCGTTATAACTATATGTAGATTTAAACATGACTATGATTTAAAGAAACCTATTTTAACAAGACCTTTGCTTATTATCAAATATTCCTTAGAATTGAAATTTTCGAATTGCTTGTTACCTCTTCTCATCGAAATCCTCCGTGTTAAAAGACAAGGTTCGATCAGCCAAAGATATTCTTCCAGCAAAAAGGTGCTTATCGCCGCTGTCGCCCTGTGACCATCGCCTGAAATAGATAACAGTAAGTATGTGTCATGGGAAATTGATATAACGATATTTTACGACTGTAATAGTTACATAACGATATTTTATGACTGTAATATGACTGCACTGCATACGGTGCAATGCACTGCTGTGGTGCACTGCATTGCACCGTACCGTACCGTACCGTACCGTACCATACGGTACCGTACCATACTGTACCGTACCAGACCGTACCATACTGTACCGTACCAGACCGTACCATACTGTACCGTACTGTACCGTACCGTTCTGTGCAGTGCAGGGCAGTACAGTATTGAACAGTACAATAGTACAGTACAATAGTACAAAACAGTGCAATACTGTGGAGTGCAGCATGTGCCTTAACCGAATTTTCATTCTAATTCGATCTGCAATTATTTATAAGCGATCAATAATCATAAAATAAATGTTTTATGCATAATTTTGCCAGAACGAAATTAGTTTGCTAAGATACTTACCGGAAATTTTTTGAAACAGGAGTTGAAGTCCGAAGTGGTGCTTTTGTCACTTTGGGTGGTGACTCTCCAAACTTGTCAAAAGAATCTTCAAACCTTGAATTATCAAAATCAAAGACAAAATCCGATAAAAAACAAAGTTCAGGCTTAATTAAAGATAATGCATAAAAATATCTAAGGACTGCTATGATCTGGTCAGTTCATGAGTATTTTATACCGTTTATATAGAGCTTTGAACAGTTTGATGTTCGTACTAAACGACGTTTCTGATGACCACACAAAAAGCAAGACTTGGAGTTTCATATTAAAAATATCTTGCTCTATACCACAATACGCGTGAGGCTTTCATTGGCTAGAGCCGAGGACTACAGCTTCCAGGTGCTGAGGTTTGAATCCTTTAGAGCAGGTAGAGTCGCCACCTCTCTATACTTCCAAGGGTATGAATCACAAGGTGTGGTCATATCAAGAGGAAGGACCAGGGCATTGCTAAATAAACAAAGATCATAGTGGCCTAAAAACTACCTTGAGATGGTCGCTAGAAACAATAACTAGATTCGCTAAGAAAAAATGTAACAAAATGATATGTGTCACTCTAATAAGGTACCTGCTTGTCTCTGGCAACAGGGGAGAATGTGATGCTGTTCGTCGCAGTTTCGGGTGTATTTGGCTTGTCTGCGACTCGGCATTTAATGATGCTGCTCTTCTGTTGAAAAGACAAACAGAAAAAAACTATTTTGTGAAACCACTAAGGATATCAAATATTGAACAATAGGCCAAAACTGACTTTGAGTAAAATTCTAACCACCAGGGTGCCAATACGTATCATGGTCCGGAATAGAAACACGGTTACAGGGTCCAAAAATCAATGATAAAGACCACATCAATCCAATAAAACTAAAAACTAAAAACAAATTTCGCAGCTAGATTAGTAGTTCGCAAAAATCCTTCTTCAGAGCCTTGCATATACATTGATTAATGTAATGTAAGAGTAATGTAAGAGTAATGTAAGTAAGCTGTTAACAGAACAGCTGTAATGCCATATAAAAAGAACAATTCTCGCAACTAAGCTGATGATCTCCTATTTTATACAAGTAAACTTCTAGATCGTCTGTTTATATTAATATAGCTATTTTTATTAATAAGAAAACTTTCATAACAACAACAAAATTTACTAACCTCTGTTTGCCATCAAAATCCGGACAGCTGACACTGGAGATGACATCCTGCGGTGTCAAATTTTCATTTTCGTTTAGATCCAGGTCATCATCCGGACAGCTGAGGCCGGAATCTAGACTTCGGTCTTTGGAATAACTCATCGAGAACTTCAGGGTAAGAAAACACAATGCAATAATGATGTGAAACCTTTTTAATTTGAATAGAAATATACAGGCCCGCCATGGGGGGGAGGGGAGGGGCGCAGATTATCCCCGACACAAGCGGTTTGCGGCTTAAACAAAAATATATAACAAAGCTTTTAAAAATAAAAACAACAATTTGAATTATAGCCATAAGAAGTTATTTTAATATTCTGTGGCATCTGATTGTGGTATGTATAAAGGATGAGAGTTGTTTTTATGAAGAATTTTGCGATCTTACTAAAAGGGAATAAAGTTAGAAGAGGCAAAAAAAATTCCAACAAAACATACACGAGAGGAAAACTTTTCGACAAACCAAAAAGTTTCAGAACAGGGAGGGACTTTACGAGAAATGAATATGTTGGAAAAATTGAAATGAGCGATGCCTACCGCGAGAGAGAAGTTTCCAGACCTCCGTTTCTCAATCAGCAATTCAGCCTCCTTTGGATTATTGAACCTGAATTTAAGACAGTCGCCAAATTGTATGATATCTCCTTGGTTCAATTTCTGTTCACCTTCTGCGATATTTCCGTTCACATAGCACTTTGCCGAGATAGGTTTTATTAAAACGTCAGTTCCATTTTTGTTGACGATAATCAGACAGTGCTCTTTATCGATACCTGAACCATATAACGCTAAAATGCAATTTTCAAAAATATATTCATAAACTCTGTTTGAGGAGGGTTGTAAGACAGTTGAGAAGGGTATATGCACCATGAGAAGTGAACGCGCACCATAAGTACAATAGTTGAATTTATTCATTCTGTCACTCTATATGCGTATATTTTGTCCTACTTCCAATAGAGAGTGTTGTCAGTGGCTAAGCTAGGACGCAGATTAGTGTCAATGGAAAAATAGCCAAGTTGGTCTTGAAGCGAATTGCAAAAACGAGATTGTAAAATTTGGCTAGTACATGAAACATCATCATTAAAATGCGCCTCTAGAGGAATGACCATCTGGCAAGAAGCATCCCCATCCAACCAAGAGGGATATCTCACCGAGTTTGTGAGCAAGCTAATCTCAACAGCTGAGCATTAGGCCATCTGCAATTGTTTGCAGTAAAACTAAAATCCAATCGGGTACATAATTTTGGGTAAAACAGGACGATTCTCAGTTGCAACTCCAAATTAATCAGTTAAATTACAGTGTTGGAACTTAGAATCGTCCTTTTCTACGCACACGCCGTATCGCTCTGCCTACACAGTATATGTGGCAGACCGGTAAGATTTTAGTTTGATAAACAATTACAAAACCTAAGAATCAATGAATGGGTTAGGCCAGAGATAATCTGTTTCATTTTTCCTCCCGTAATCTTCGTGTCTTTTATAAGATTAATCTAAAACAATATTTGTCTTTTCATAAGAAAAAGAGACAGCTTCAATTTTTGGTCTTAAAATACTGGAATAGCCTACCAATTCCTTGCTCTTCTGTCAAATCTTCAGACCCTATGACAGTAACTCCATTCTAGAAGAAATTCAAACGAACATGAAAGTCCAGGATTTATGCTTGGACATAGCGACCTGCAAACTCAAAGTATGATTTCAGGTCTTAAAAATACATATTTGCAATGGCCTTTACAAAAATTAGAAAAAAATAGATACCAAAAGCAATAATGAATCAAGACCATATCTTCACAGGATGGCTCTTTACCTGGTCGTTTAATACTATGCAATATAAAAGTTACTAATATGCTATTCCTAAGAAGTTACAAGAAACAATGTATATCAATCTGAAAAGTAAAGATTAAATAGTTTGACTAAATGGTGATTTAGAATCTAAAAAGTAATAATCAAATAGTCAAATTTTGACTAAAAAACTTAAAGGACAAGTGACACGCTTTTGGCGCCAAATTTTTTTCTTCTTTTAACTTAAAGTAAAATGCTGTATGAGAGTGTCGTTGTAATATTTTTCCTTTTCTGATTTCATTTTCCTACTTAAAAACCCTTTTCAAATTGTGGCGGGAAATTAATCACGTGACACCGTGACGTAGATTGTGATAATTTGTTATTGCTGCTACTGGTATACAGTGCAATATTAACGTTTACAACACGCTTCTAAACGAATTCAGTTCGTCTGGACCTGTCGCGTCGTGTTTCGTAAACTCTCTATTAATTGCAGGAAAATTCCGAGTTATCACAATGTACGTCATAGGGTCACGTGATAAAAAGCAAAATCGTTCCCCCTGCAGCCCCTGATTATAATTTTTTGTTCTAAACCATGCATAAAAAATTCAAAACTTAGAAAGTTGAACCACAAATAAAAAACTGAAAGTGGCATTGTAATCAATCACAATTGGAATTATTACAAAAACAGCTTTAACAATTAACAATGACCAAAGTTTTGACCACCATTCAGTGGTTTCATACCAGTGTGACCAGATCTAGCATAATATAATGCTTTTAGCATAATATAGGCCAAAAATTGTCATTTAGAATAAAATCTAGCATAATTAGGAATCTAGCATAACTCTGGCATAATTTTGATAGTTTTTAAAAAATTAATTGTTTCTATTAATCCGTTGTCTATCACCGCCAAATGCAAACACTTTACACCAGAATGTGTGACTTTCCACTTTCAGGGTTTAGCCAGATGTTTGTAAAGGTTGGCAGCCAAATATTTTATGGTTGGCAGCCAAATTCAGCCAGCTAAATGCAGTACACAAAAAAGCTGAATTTTTGCTAATTGTGGAGAGTGATAGTGTAATCAAAATTTGCTTTGTAGGTTACAAAAGCTTTCACTTACTTTTATCTTGCATTGTATGTTATCTTTCACTTTGTTTCATGTTTTTTTTTGCAATTTTGAAATCATTCTAAACAAATTTGAATATTATCTATGCCAAAAATTTATTTTCCTTTGCTTTTTTTGTGGTTTTTTGCAACATGCTGCCAGAATTCTGCCAACTTCTGTTTCTTTGGCCAAATCAATTCATGACGGCAAAAGGGATTGAGAAATTTGGATGTCAAAATCATTGATCTAAATTGCCTTTTTGTGTTCAAAAGATGGCAATTTTGAGTACACTGTGTTTTAGAGGAGTGGTCAAAAAAGTCAAATGGCAACTCTGGCCACTTTTAATAGTCTGAGCGTGCGCTAGCCTCTTTTTCAAGCAGGGTTACCTTGATTTGAAATTTAGCATAATTTTTGCAAATCTAGCATAATTTTATGACAAATTTGGCATAATTCCAAAATTGAGATCTGGTCACACTGTTTCATAAATTGAAGATTGCAGCTTTAAAAAGAATATGGGACAATAGCCTTCTACCTAGATAAAAAAATTTTCCATCTTCCCCCTTGCTCAAATGAAAATGTACTTTTAGAAACTTGATGCAGAAAAATTTCCATTGAAAAATAGTAGAAAACGACCGATCCGTTCTCAAATTTTTGTTCATTTTTAGAAGAATCAGTTGGGCCATTTTTTGCAAAAAAATAAAAACGTCATTGCCCTATCCAAACCCCTATATTATCCCATACTATCCCATATCATCCCACTGTCCCATATTATCATTATGACTCACTTCTAGGCGATAGATGACGATTTCTGCACTCAGCGGGTCGACATCAATGCCAACGAGATGTGGCTTCTCTGATATCAACAACGTTTGCCTCCCTCTCCTCCGCATGATCAGCTGCTCTTCCTATGTTAAGAGACAGACACAAGCGTTGTAAATTATGGTGAACAAGGGAACGTATTCTAAGGGGCAAGCTAACCCCCGCCCCCTTCTTACGGTCATAGAACATAATTAAAATAGATGCGCCTGGTCTTTTATTGCAAGTACGGGGGAGGGGCGGAGCATTTTGTTTCCTTAATTTCTTTCTCATCTTCTTGGACTGAGCTTTAGCAACTAGGGCACCTAAGAAATATTTACAGAGAAAAATAAGAAGGAATATTTTTATACCTAAAATAATTTTGTTCTATTTATAAAAGAAAATTTCGTTATTCATCAGTCGACTGAAAAATAGTAATTTGTTTTATCATGGTATGATTTTTACTTTGAGAGGGCAATTACAAAAAACAAAGGAAATATTTACCTGACATATTGTTTGTGTCTCATTCCATTTGTTTTTCCACGTTTGGATAAGCTCTTCGGCCTTTTGCTCATCTTCTGCCAGTTTAGCTTCGATAGCTTCATTAACAGTCTTTGAATAAGAATCCTAAACAACATTATAAAATCTTTAAACGCCAGTTACAGCCACACTTCTATGCATTTAATTTGCTAAGCAAAGAGGACAGCGAGCACATGAAACTAGACACGTTTATAAGAGATTAGTTCTTGAAAGTTATTCTGTTTATTTTCACTGTTATCAATTTTTAGTTTAATGATTCTTCAGCTTGTAACAGCTTATAATGCAAAAGATATCCCAACACTTAGTTTCGGTTAAGATTAGAATCTTCCGTTATGATTAGTGTAGATTGGAATCTTTTCTTTTGATAACAAGCCTGTTCTACGATGGATAGGTTGGTCATTACATAAATATTATTCACGTTGTATAGACAGCTTTCAAAGATAAGAAAGCTGTTTTTAGATTCTGGGGTTTTGTAAGTATCTTGGAAGTTAAAGTTGATAGATGAGAGTTGATAGAGAGGAAGCGGAAAATGGGAAAGTGGGTAGCTTAGATTGAGGTATGAGCAGTGGCGGACACTTGGGGGGCAAAGGGGGGCGATGGCCCCCCAATACTTTAGAGGACCATAGTCTTTTGTTAGAAAACAATGGGAAATGTGACGTCATCTTATTAAAACAATCGGCTTGCCCCCCCCCCCCAATATTTGACCAAGGGTACGCCCCTGGGTAAGAGGTCCCTGTGTATTGTGATGAAGAAGAGTTGTTTGCAGTTAGGATGATCTCTAAAGATAAAAAGGTAGTTTCTGGGTATCAACAGTAATTTATTTAAAATTCAAGTTGACATTTGCCATAAAATCTTTGCATTCGAAACAGATTAAAGGCTCTTCCGCAACCAGCATGCGCAGCGGCAGCTGTCTTGAGAAATTGATTGTGTTTTGTATATTCATGCAGTATTATTTAGTGCTTATGTTATAATTACTTACGCATATTACCCAATAGTAGACTATTGATATCGAATAAATTACCTTCGCAGAACTGTTTAGAATCATTTCCTTCAGTCTTTCTATTTCGGCTCGCAGTTCCCTAATGAGCTTGACGTTCGGATCCTAAGAGAATAAAAAAACATTGCTAAAAAATTCTTCTTGAGACTGGAATAGCTGAATGTGTGAGAAATCATGCTACAAAAAGTTGGGGAAAAAGAAAAGAATCGAAGAGTATTTTTCTTTTAATTGTTTATCCCGAATATCTCTTTGCGTTTTAATATGAATTTGTACTAGGAGCACCGAACCCATGCATACAAAGTGTCGAAATGCCACTCAGACACGCCAAAGAACCACTAGCAACCTTTGGTGAATGTGATAATCGTTCGTTCGGTCTATACGCAAATCAAATGAAGTTGTGATAATCTAAGGAAGAGAATCAGATATACAACCACATTAAAAATATACCAACTAGGCAGTGCAACCGTTTTAAAATAAAAAATATACAACACTGCATATACTACCTCGTTGATTGTAGGTTTGTTAACAATCTTCATAGCACGGCTAGCATATCTAAGAGTGCTTAGGGTCTCGCCATAATTCACGTCTGCGGGGGAAATTGCTACAAGGCAAAAGAGGCGTGGTTATCAATGATAGTGCAGCTCTCAACCATCTTAGGCCAATACCTTAGTAACTTGAAGCAAATTAGCAGGATGGCAATCGTGATTCAGAACATTTGTATCGATCCAATACTATAGCTAATAGAAATTGTAAGACAAATATGCAAATAAAAATAATGGTAACATTCGTTGTGTGAATGGCTGTATCCAAATAATAAACAAAAATCTTGTAACTATGCCTATTTGTAGCGTTCGAATTTTCAGAATACAGAACTGATATTTTGCTACATTTATTCGATTTACAACCAGTCCTTTGAGTATATCAGATCTTCGAAAACTACTTAAGCCAAGAAAGACGCTATTTGGTGTATAGAAAAGGTCGATTCTAAGCTGCTACTCCCGGCTCAATAAAAGTTACTGTGAACCGGTCAGTCATCTTTATGAGCAAAAAAAGATGTTTGGTATAAGCAAGTGCGTGCCTTGAATTTACGATCAAAATACACAAACCATCATTTGCAAAGAATTTACAATGATAAAATATGTGATGTGGAACAAACAGAAACAAATTAGGTCTAAAAATTGTTTAAGCATTTAGGGAAGCGAGTTGCTGTTACGGAGATTGAAAGGTTACGGAATGGAATGGAAAACGGGAAAAGGAAGTATAAATGAAAGAAAAAGTTGAAAATAACAAATATATATAAATTGTCATTCATTTCATGGAAACGCATCATTGTTACCGCCAGTTTATATTGGCTGAAATGCCAAGATAAGGAAACGAACGCTTCCGTCAAATTTCCAGGCCTGATATACATTTTCGATTTAAAAAATCTTGTCTTAGAAGACATTAGAAATTACCTGCAATCATTATTGTCTTTGAATTGCCCCCAAGGCTGTCTTTCAAAAGCCATGTCAGGACTGAGTCCCTGTATGGTACAAATGTAGACTTTCTGATAGAACCAGTGGTATTGGAAAGATTTGTCGACTTTTCAGCTGGAATCAGAAAGAAATATCTGCTATCAAGTACTATACTAGATTTGTAGCTCGGAAAAACTGAAATTTAAGGCAAGCAGCAAATGCGAAAGAAACTCGTTGGAAACGCTGTTCGTACTTCAGCTGGAAGGTGGCGAAGAGACGAAAACTGGAGAGGTCAGAAAAACTGGGTGCTTGATTGGCTAAATGAAATTTTATGCAAACCGTTATAGAAGAAGGCATAGGGTCTTTCATTGTAATGTATAAAAGACGGAATAAATGTAATTCGTGAAAAGAAGCTATTATCATGAAAAATATTGAAATACCCCAACATACCTAGTGCTGAAATGACTAGTCCCAGAGTTGAAAGAGACTTGTTAATGCTTCCACCTTCTTTTAGCCGCACCCCAGTTGCACCAGAGGCAGATGCTCTTTCGCTGTTAGAAGAATTGGACTAGCTTTCAGTAAATAAACTAAAGCATTCACTTGACACATGTATCCAGGGCTATCAATACCTCTCGCAACACTACTGGTGGCAACTAGCAGTCAGAAACCTAAAACTTACTTCTAAGAAAGACTTAGTTCACTTAGATAGACCTGTTCATGTACTCTAGTACAAATGAATTTTTATTCTCAATCTCTGATCTGCAGTGTGACAAGATCTAGCATAATTAAGCATAATTTTAGCATAATAATAATAATTTTAGCCTCTTTTTCAAGAGGTTTAAAATTTAACATAATTTATGTAAATCTGGCATAATTTTATGAAAATTTCGGCATAATTCAAAAATTAAGATCTGGTCACACCGCTGATTTGCTGCTCGTTCTAGACGTTTTTAAGTCACAACTCCGAGTTTCGCCCTTAATAAGATTGCAAGACAACTGTAACTTACAATCAGAACCACAGTGTTTTATATACCAAAGTTTGTATACCCAGGCCTGTACAGAAATGAGCCCTCTCTAACAGACCGGTAAACAGAAGTTTACAAAATCACTGTTATACTGCTAGGAGTGATTAGTAGACAAATGCAACAGTGACTGCTCTGAGTTACCAATTCTATGTTATGGTGCAAATTCCAAACGAAACAACGTAAAGCTGATGGGTTTTAAACGTGATATAATTCCCAATACGTCAAATTTTAATGGGTGACTCTGTTTCAGTTGTGCATAAACTCATGACTACATATATCGTTTTGCATTTCTAGGAACACAAAACTACATTTAAAGGCATCTTTCCGAGTGTAATGCAATTTTGTAAAAACGAGCGTATTAGAATTATCATCGAAAACCAAGTTTTGTACTCCATAAGGAGAATAACTTTCTGCAGTCTGGAAAACATGATAGGCTGAAGGCTGATTGCCAAATGACTGAGTTTGTGACAAAATTTTGAGAGATTTCTAGAAAAATATAAACCGGAACGCAGAAAGGTTTTTAGGGGCCTGGGAAAAATGGGACCAACTGGATTTCTGCTGTTGTTTTCATATAAGAAAAGCCGTTCACCGTAACCAGTTCAACTACAAGCAATGTTCTACATAAAATAACGTCATTTCCGTTTGTCAATTCCATTTAGATTTGATTGGTTAACTTAAAATAGCAAGCCACACCAAAATTCTATTGCCTGCAAATTTCATGTAAAAATCTTGATACAAGAAACTTTGGCCCCACTCAGCTCGGGGCATGGGGAAATATGCCCCTTAACTTGTATAATTGCTTATAGATTGATAAATCGCGTGAACCATTAAATAGGCCATCTTTTGCAAGTATGTTGTGCTACAAAAAAGCAACCTTTATTTGTGAGAATCTTTGAAATAATTCAAAATGCAACAGGTAGAAGTCACATTTTGGCACTAACAATATGGCTCAGTCTATAGCACAGAGAATACTACACCTTCATCTGAAGAATATTTTAAAACAGGTTCTTAAAAGTAAAGTTTGGAAAATGCACTGACCTGCCGGCTAAATCGACGAGATTCAATTTGCTCACAGTTTCACTTGGAACATTTTCGGAAAATTTGGCCTGAGAATATTAAATATGTGACATGATAAATGCAAATTGGCATTTAATTGTTAATAGGTAATGTGCAATTAGAACGGGTACCCATTTGCATCCTGGTGACCTTGGACGATTGTCCAGATCATGAATTCTGCCTAGACCCGAGCCAACAATCCCATGTGCTGCAATCAAGTGCACTTTCAACGAGGCCAGCTCTAAAGAGTGATAGTCGAGTAAAATCTTTTGATAAGCGAAGAAAATACTTTTGCTGAGTCATTTTCCTTTGAAATTTTATTACTACAGATAACTGTATGTTGTGCGCAAGAAATTTATACAAATTTAAGATTACAGTTCAAACGAATGTTGTATTCTTCACAGAACCATGGCTTTCAACCCTGGTAACAAACCGCCAAGATTCACGCAGGTGCCATTGTACAATTTGAAATGTGATCAGTTTTAGATTGACCAAATAAATCCTCTGATGAGGGCATGTTAACAGTTTCAAAAAAGCTTGTTACCTATTCTTACCTGAGTAAATTTAATGCAGAATATAGCATGAGATCTGCTACTGGTATCGTTCATCATTGTTGAAGCAGTGACTCTGATAGAAAAAATAAAATAAAATGAAAACAGCCATTCAAAACCTACAAAGTTGCGCCCAACCAACCCCTCCCCCTTTCTTACCAGATCAAAATTGTTACTGACACCTGCAAATAGCAAATGCCTACCGCAAGGAAGCAAAAGCTACAAAAATAACTTTTTATATTTCAAAAAAACTTAGAATCTTACTTTCATTCTCTTACATACACAAAGAAACAAATAAAAATGAGAACACAACTTCAGGCAACCATCTCTTAGCATGAAAGCAACGTTCATCAACAAGCCAGAAAAGACAGCCTATTTCTCTTATAACAGGCATCTCCATACATTGGAAAACATTATTTCTGTTCTGTTTTCATACAATTTTAGTAGTGAACAACAGAAAAGGAGCCTCTTTTCATCACAGAAAGACTCTGGTTCCATAATTCCTTCTTGGCCTTTCTGGCATTATAAAAACTGCTTTGAAAGTGTAAAAAAATAAATGCAAATCCTGATACCTTGCAGCATTCCCAATGTTCATGAAGTGTTCCATCTGCGCAAAATCTGACACTGGGTGAACGGTAACTCCTGTATGACAAAATATGTCAGAAAAAAGTTGTTATCTAATTTGAGAAATAGGCGAGTCTATGCAGCGTGTACAGCTCTGCCTAAACGGCATCAAACACTTTATGACAGGCCGGTAAAGAAAATTTTTTATTGATTTCAGAGATAAACTATACTTCACAAAATATCAAATCATTCTTTAAACTGTTCCTTTTTATAGAAAATCGCTGTAAAATACATAGCAATCACGCATTTGCCCGCCACATCCTTGGGCAACGATGTCCGAATCCGTAAGATGCGCTGTAATATTTTATATCTATGAATGAATCCGGTATGGATAAATCCGGGCAGAGGCACTAAACCGGTTTTCAAGAGATGTAATACGAATCCACAATATACCTTGCACAAAAGGCCCTTCTTTTGGGTGCTCCCTTATTCGAAGATTGTCCGGCTTTTTGTCTTTGGACCGGGCAGACCTCAGCAGATCTCGAACTTGCTCGTTGTATATTTCGATATAGCTAGAAATAAAGAAGGTTTTATAGATTAACATAGAATTTTTCGAAAAGGCATGTGCCTCTACTACATTCAAAATCCCCTTGAAACCATAGAACTTGGAAAGAAAATTTCTGAGTACGGTTGTTTAACTAGAACTTTGGTCTTAACTTCACATCTTGGTACTGCTTATATTTCAAAACAATGTAAAGTTTGTGATTGCCTAAATGTAATCGGAGTACCTATTGGCAATCAATTGATGTATAGAGTATTATCATTTTGCTTTAAGGTACCTAGGCCTTCTTTCCCCGCCCCGAACCATAATTCTAGTTCATATCATTAATGGCTTTGAATGAGGCTCGAGCCAGTAAAGGCGCCATGAAACAGTCTGTCCACAATGGCGCCATGAAACAGTGTAATCCACTACGCCAAAGGAGCAACATTATGTACTAATGGGTACCACTACGCCAAAGGAGCAACATTGTGTATTAAAGGGTATCATCATCGAGTTTTTAATGTTTCATTATAAGAATTTTGAGAGCATACCTAATTTCAACCCTTGACGAAGTTTCGCTGGAGGAATCCAAACTTGTAAACAGCTTCTGCAAAAAATAACATCATTTCACTTCCCTTCCATCGAGTCTAGAATAGACGATGTCTGGATAAACGAGGTGGGTAGAAAGCTAACCATATCTCAATACAAAGGAAGCCATGAAGAAATCAAGGGTCGGTGGAAAACTTCCTAAACCGGGGAGGGTGAGTTGGCAGTCCAATTATATTTGAGACGTTTAATATTTAGTTCTTGATAATGATTTTCTTGAAGGGTCCAACGTTAATAAACGAGGATCTGGAATAAGGATACCCTAAGCGAATTTTCAAAAGATGAAAAGCGTCGAGGGGGACGGGACGAGAGTGCCAACTTTGATTACAGAAATCTAAAGAAACTGATGTTACATTTCTAAATGATAATGGGTAAGAGTGGGTTTGAAAGATTTGATGGATGGGATTTAAAGGCACAACATGACGATTGGGTTTGAAAGATTTGATGGATTGGATTTAAAGGCACAACATGACGATTGGGTTTGAAAGATTTGATGGATTGGATTTAAAGGCACATCATGACGAATGGGTTTGAAAGCTTTGATGGATTGGATTTAAAGGCACAACATGACGAATGGGTTTGAAAGCTTTGATGGATTGGATTTAAAGGCACAACATGACGATTGGGTTTGAAAGATTTGATGGATTGGATTTAAAGGCAAAACATGACGATTGGGTTTGGAAGATTTGATGGATTGGATTTAAAGGCACAACATGACGAATGGGTTTGAAAGATTTGATGAATGGGATTTAAAGGCACAACATGACGAATGGGTTTGAAAGCTTTGATGGATTGGATTTAAAGGCACAACATGACGAATGGGTTTGAAAGCTTTGATGGATTGGATTTAAAGGCACAACATGACGAATGGGTTTGAAAGCTTTGATGGATTGGATTTAAAGGCACAACATGACGATTGGGTTTGAAAGATTTGATGGAT